AGACAAAAATTGGAAACTCCCCCGAAGTTCATCAGCAAATGAAAGTATAAACAAATGTGGTCTATACATACAATGGAATAACTATTTGACTTTAAATTCAGATATAGGGTACAACATGGGTTAACCTTGAAAACATGCTAAATGAAATAATCTAGACACAATAGAACACACATGATATGATTTCACTTACATGTGGTACACAGAATAGTCAAATTCATAGAGACAGAAAGAAAAGTCATATCAAGGACTGGTGAGGGAGGAGAAGGGAAAGTGCTTGCTTAATGCTTATTCTGTTTGGTTTGATGAAAGTTTTGGAAATGGGTAGTGGTGATAAAAGCACAACATTGCGAATGTACTTAATGCTACAGAGCTGTACACTTAAGAAGGTTAAAACAGTACATTTTTGTGTCATACATAGTTATTTCAATAAACAACAACAGCAAAGGAGTCAAAATTAACCTTTATCTAATTAGAGTACTACACTAAAATGAGATAATTCATGTGCACTTCTTAGCAATATGCTGGCCAAATAGGGAATCCTTACTAAAGGAAGGACACATGTCTTCTAGTCTTTAGAACCACTGAAAGATGGAATGAGCTTCCCAGTGGATGGCAATTGTGAGTTCCCTGCTACAAGATGTGATGTGATTAATAGGTGGCAAAACAGAATCTTAAGTTTCATATGAAGACGAATCCCCTGGGGACAGTGTTAAAATGTAGATTGTGATTTAAATAGGTCTTGTGTGGGGCCTGAGATTCTGCATTTCTAATAAGCCTGGCAGTACTGATGCTGCCAAATTTACCCGGGAGCTGGATGATTCTTTGGCGGGGGGAGGTGATGCTGAAGAAGGTGTGCAATAAACTATCACTTGGAGCAGGGCATTAAATGTATTGTCCAGTACAGTGGGCAACTCAAAATGTGTGGCTTTTGAGGATTTGAAATGTGGTTAGTCTGAACTGAGATGGACTATGAGTATAAAAATCACAAAAGCTTAATATAAAAACAAAACAAACTGTGAATAATTTATTGAGACTTTTTATATTGATTACATTCTCAAGTGTTATTAGTTGGGTTATATTGGGTTAAGTAAAATTGTTACAGTTTTTAAGAGGGGTATGAGTGGAAGGTATTTGGTTAGTATCTTGAAGCTGACAGCGTTAGAAGAGGAACCTCTTGTTCTGGTATTCTCAAGCTGACAGGAAGGATAAATGGAGGGAGAGGTTGCTTTCTAGGATCAACAAGGGGGTGGGAGAGAGAGAGGAGTAAAAGTCTATGAGGGGGTTAAGAGGTAAGGCAAGGTTTATGTGGCATGTATACCGTTAAAGGAGGACAAGACTGGAAGGAAACAGAAAAATGTTTGTGGTGGTATCTGGGTGGTTGGAGTGATGTTTCCTTTTCCTTTTTTTTTTTAAAAAAGATCTATTTATTTGTGCATACAGAACTGGGGTACAGGCCAGAGGCTCAGGGGCAGCGAGAGGCTTCATCAGAGACAGAGTGGGAAGCAGAACACTGCTGAGGGAAGCAGCGGGCAGGTCAGGAGAGGTCTGCCACGCCATGTGGTCACCTCCCGGGCAAGCAGGAATCGAACTCATGCTGAAGTGGCTTTAGCTTCTAAGTGCTGTGCTTTAACCCACTGTGCCACCAGGGAGGGCCCTACTTTTCCTTTATTTTTACTTTCTTTTCCCTCTGTAGAGATGCATGCCTTTCAAATGGAGTTAGGGTGTGTGGGTTAGCTGTGGTTAGTGGTAGCCAGGGATGCTGACTTCAGCATACAAGGCCACCTTGCAGGGCTTGTGACAGGGATACACACATTACAAGTGTGCTTGTGTAAGCCTGCGTGTACAAGGAAGCTTTCCACACTGCTGAGAGTAGTATAATCTCTGGCTGTCTGGATTTCAGGTCATTTCTATCTCTTTACACTTTTGCATCTAGTTTAAATGTTTTATAATGAAATGTACTATTTCACAATCAGAAAAAGGTTATTATAATTTCAAAAAATAGGTACACTCTTCACAGGAACTAAGCATCCCACCGTACTCTGTGTTCACAAAACCACGCTGTAGACGCTTGCTCTCCTGTTGGCCTTCAAGAAGCAAGTGGCCATGCTGTGAACTGCCCAGAGTGGGTCAAACAGTGGGAAACTGGGGCAACTTTAGGAGCTGAGCGAGGCCTTTGGCCAACAGCCAGGGAGAAACGTGTTCCAGCTGCCAGGAAGTGAATTCTGCAGCCTTCTGCATGAGCTTGGAAGTGAATTCTTCCCTAGTTAGATAAAAGGAATGTGGTGGACACTTTGATTGTATTCTTATGAAACCCAGGACCCCGTTAAGTTCTACTAGAAGTCCTAACCTACAGAAACTGGAAGACAGGAAGTGGTGTTTTAAGCCACTCAACTTGTAGCAAAGGTTTTTATGCAGCAGTAGAAACACATACTTCCTCCTACCAGCTGTGTATGAGAATTTGAGCTGCTTTCTATGAAACATCCTGTATTTGTCAGTCCTTTTTTTTTTTAAGATTTATTTATTTATCCATACAGAATTGGGGTACAGGCCAGAGATGCGGAGGGTGAGAGGATTCACCAGAGACAGAGCGGGGAGCAGAACAGGCAGATGGACGAAGTACACTGCTGAGGGGAGCAGCGGGCGGGTCAGGAGAGGTCTGCCACGCCATGTGGATCTCCTCGGGGCAGGTGGGAATCGAACTCATGTGGAAGTGACTTTAGCTTCTCAGTGCTGTGCTTTAAGCCGCTGCGCCACCAGGGAGGGCCCCTGTCAGTCCTTTTTTAACTTTGACCATGGTGGTGGGTATGTATGCATTGTGATTTTAAGTTTTTAGATGCCTAACAGTGAGTGTCGAGCACTTTTCCATACACCTATTGGTTGTTTGGATACACTCTGATGAAACACCTTGCCAGTATTTCTCAGAAAAAAAAAAAAAAATAGTGAGTTGCCTGTCTTTTTATCACTGACTTGAGAGTTCTTTGTTTATACTGGATGTAAACTCTTGTGGAATACAAGGTTTAAAAATCGTTCCTCCGATGTAAAAATAAACTATTATAAAAAAAAATCGTTCCTCCCAGTTGTAGACTGCCTTTTCATTCTCTTAAGAAACTCTTAATTTTATTGTTTTTTTTTGTCCCCCCAGTTTTACTGAGATAAATATTGTTTTTTTGGTCCCACCCCCAGTTTTACTGAGATGAAATGACATATACTATTGTAATGGTCATGTGAATTTTGCCTCAACTAATGAAACATGGTATCCTGCTTCCAAATACAACGCTATTTTCATTCTTTATGACCACATGTTTCTCTTGGGGGTTGAGGAGGTAGAAAGAGGAAGGCACATTTTGGTTCAACATAAGAGAGTATCCAATAGTGCAGTGGGCTGATTTGTAGTGTAAACGTACACTGAAATTATGCTAGAAGACACTGGATAAGTCTCTATAATGAATATTATATAAGGGACCTATAAGTTGCCTTTCAGCTGAAGATACCAGGGAGTCATCCTCTTGAATAGCTTTTCTCTTGGAGAGCTCAGAATTCAAGCATAACACAAAGTACAGTGCAAATACTGGTCTGTGTGGTAGTGATTACACAAAGAAGGTGATGCTTTGATAATGAGGATTAAATTTTTTCATGCAGTAGTTTTAGAAAAATGTTAAGCTAATCAAACTGCAATTGTGTTCAATAAAAACGTGGCATGTGTTCATGTTTCTAAAAATGCCAGTTTTAAATTAATCTATTGTAGCAGATTTGCAATTTGGAATGCATGCACACGTTTCTGATATTATCTTTATTCTTAGTAAGGAAATATGTGAAGATTACAAGGGTATTATTAAAGCTGGAAGTGGTATAGCATGGTTAAGTCAGATGGGAATTTGAACCCTAGCTCTGCCACTTACCAAATTACTCTTGACTTCTTAGGAACTCAGTTTTCTATCAAAAGGGGACAATAATAGTACCTGACTCATAGGGTAATTATCTGCACAGGAATCTCTTGGCCCCACCTTGGTTAGCATTCCATAATGTCAGCTAATATTATTTATGAGTGCTGCCTGAAGATATTTTTAAGTGGGGGTGGGAGGGGGAAGGAAGGTAGGTAAAGAAGATGTGAACTAAAGTGAGAAAGACTGTTTTGGAATAAAGATATCACATTTATTGATTCAACAAATAATCATTTAGTGCTATGTGCCTCGCGTTGACTCAACATACAAATCCTTTTATTGTGTGTTCCTGCGTGATTATGGAAACTTCACGGGGATACTTACTAATCAGATGTAGCCCACTAGCTAGTGGCATCTCTAGGGGGGCTTTATGCTATTCCTTCCAGCACCCAGTGGGTGAGAAGCCCATGCCAGCAGCCTTTTGTGGCTGGTTGGGAGGTGTGATGAACTCTGACTCTTCCATTAGCATTTCAACGCCTCAGCTTCTGACTCTTTCACTTTCGATATGCCCCCCCTATTTCTGTTTCCAGCATGTACTTTCTCAGCCCTGCAAATTGAGTACAGGGCCTGAGTCGAATTCTGAGGCCCCAAATGCCAGCTGCCCCACAGGTGCTGAGATTTATTTGCCTCCCGGATCTTTATTTTCTAACTAAATAACTTATCCTCATCTCCCCTTATTTTCCCACCTTTGTTTTAAGCTCTTTGCCCTACGCCTTCACTTTCCCTCCTTTTTCCTATGATGCACGCAGGCGCCCCACACCTGGATTCAGAGCTGGGGACAGAGGGAGGTGGGTGGGAAGGTGACCAGGCACAGTTCTGCCCCCTATTGGTGATCATGTTAATTGCAGAAATTGACAAATTCTCCCGCCATCGCTCACTCTCCCTGTACCCTCTGAAAGTCAGGTTTTACCCTCTAGGCCTTTGAACCTGCAGCTGGCAGGATCCCCGCGTGAAGACCCCAGCTCTCTCCTCCTCTTTCGCGCCTTCTTTTCAGGCTAGGCGGAGGTGGCGTTGGTATGGCCGCACCACCGTTGCCAGGGCGACGCCTTGGTTACTTCCGTTGGTATCAGTGCTTCCGGGTTGGTGTTGCGGTGGCGTTTCCGACTGTGGGAGTCGCGGCTTCCCAGTCGTCCGACGAGCCCGAGCAGGTGAGGGGGAGCTCCTGGACTTCTAGGCTGGGGAGCGGGGCTGGGCCGCGCCAGGCCGCGCGGGCCAGGCTGGCCTGGTTTCCGGCCTGGGAGGGGCTTAACGGTCCTTTGGTCTCTCTCTCCCCTCAGCTGAGTCCCTTCCCTGTCTTTCACTCTTCTGGCATCGGTGGTTTTACTTCTTCGATTGAACCCTGCTTCCTCGACCCCCCTGGGAGGCCGCCTCCTTCAGGCGCCTCCCTTCTCTCCACGAACTCGCTCTGACAGCCGAGGAACTGGCAAGATCCTGCTACCCAGAGGGTGAATGGGTATCTTTCCCGGAATAATCCTAATTTTTCTAAGGGTGAAGTTTGCAACGGCGGCGGTGATTGTAAGCGGAGTAAGCAAACACCTCCATTGTATTAGTGTGAGGGATGCTTTGGAAAGATGCTACTCTCGGGTTCCTACCCTTGCCACCCTTGTGGTGAAGGCATTGAAGGCATCTATTAAAATGCAGTTCGGCTAACTAACTGGGATGACAGTCATTACCACTATGAATTAATTTCTCAGACAGGGTAGCAGCAGGGACATATTTAGTTTTCTGTGAGCATTTCCGTGTGTTTCCCAGGCTTGGGATGCATAGAATCTTTGTGAATTCTTCCCTCCCTTTCAATGCCTACATCATTCAATTGTGTTATGTGTCCATTTCAGAAATTTATCTCTAACCTCACTGCCAAAACATCTCTCCTGTACCTTACTTCGCATTACCATAAGCTAGTCTCCCTGCCTCTCTGGTTTGTAATCCACTGCTTTGTAGGCTGACTAAAATGGTGTAGAGTTAAGTCACTTCTCTGTTAAAAAATGTCTGGTATCTAGGATTTCCCCCCATACACACACTCCCACCACAGATACTTTTGCTTGCAAACCTCTCAACCTAACCCATTCTTACCATACCTATTGTCTGATAATTGTTTCAAACAGATGAGGGAATTGTCTGTTACAATTAGGTGGTACTGGTGCTTCTCAAATACAATGTTACTGATGTGTGCCCACATGCTGTGCCTCAGGTGCTGTGCCCTCCCTATCTTTGTGGCTCTGTTCATCCTGTTCTCCCCTCCTTCCACCATCTTTTCAACTTGTTCAAGCCCACATGGTCTCCTTTTCCATGTTTCTCCTCTTATAGTTCGTACTATAAGTTTAGTACTTATTTTTTGTCTAATGAACTACTTTGACTTTTCCCCTACCAGATTATAAACTATTTTTAAAGGTTTGTTTATTTATGCATACAGAACTGGGGTGCAGGCCAGAGGTGCAAGGCGGTGAGAGGATTCACCAAAGAAAGAGCAGGGAGCAGAATAGGCAGATTGATGAAGTACACTGCTGAGGGGAGCAGTGGGCAAGTCAGGAGAGGTCTGCTGTGTGTTTTAAAAGCATGTACCCATAGTGCTTTGTAGGCTTGGGCATTTAGTATATCTTGAAGAGGTATTTGCTTGGCTGTCCATTACTACCTTCTGAATCTGAGAATCTCTAATGCCTACTCTTTCTTAAAGGAGAAAGCAAGAAAGGCACTGACCAGATCTTTGGAGTAGTGTAGGGCTCTGTAACTTGTATTCTAGATATTCTTATTGTCAACCTTTAAGCAATGAAATTTCCCTTAGATCTTCAGCACACACATCTACATTTTGAAGACAACTTTCATTGACTTCTTTATATAAGAAAAATGTTTGAGGTACTATAATATTAAGTTTGTTATGACTTCTCTTCTTTACCCATATCTAGAGATGGCCCCCCAGAAGTCAAAAATATTTTTAGCAAGGGAAGAGAATGAGCAGGGAGAGAATCTCTGAGGCTCAGCGGGGTCATGTACAGAGCGGGTAGTGATGGTCAGGCCCAGTGAGTTACCTCTCTGATTCCCATCATAGTCTGTTACATATAGGCTGCATACACAGAAGAAAGACAGCACATGGGAACCAGCTGAGTATCTGAAGGTGTGCCCAATTCTATGCAAGCTATTCTGGGGGTTATAAAAAGCATTGTGAGACATGGTGTCTGTCTTCAGGGATCTCACCTAGTTAAGAAAGTAAATCACATGGGTAACTGGAAGAAATACCTCATGCTCATCACTATTTTTATGTCTGAGATTAAGAAAAATATTGAGGGCCCTCCCTGGTGGCACAGCTAATTAAAGCACAGCACTAAGAAGCTAAAGCCACTCCGCATGAGTTCGATTCCCACCTGCCCTGGAGGTGACCACATGGTGTGGCGGACCTCTCCTGACCTGCCCATTGCTCCCCTTAGCAGTGTGCTTCATTGGTCGGCCGTTCTGTTCCCCACTGTCTCTGGTGAATCCTCTCACCACCCGTGTACCCCTGGCCTGTACCCCAGTTCTGTAATGCATAAATAAATAAATCTTTAAAAAAATATTGAAAGGATAAATGAAGGTTTAATGAACACAGCCCATCTGTGCCCTAGGTATGATGGGGCATGCATGTGTGTACAGGCCTGGTGTAAAGAATGAGGTTGAGGGTGACATTTTGATGATTCATTCGAAAAGCAACTGCTGTAATTTTCAGCTGAATTAATTGAAGCATATATAATAGAGAGAATGATGAAAATGACTGAGGAAGATAAGATGTAGGAGAACACAATAGCTGTCTTAAAATAGTTGAAGGAGTCCCCAAGGGAAAAAGGATAAACTTGTTCAATGCTGCTCCAAAAAAATGGATGAAGGCAGAATTTTTGGCGCAGGATGAGGAATTGTCCAAAATCTGACCAAATCAAAGATGACCCAGAACTTCTTCATAGCGAGATTCTTTCTTAACTTGGGAGGGAAAGGGTTTTACTATCCAGGTGGGGGTGGTTGGGTAGCGATGCTCACTTTGGCCAGTGGTTCCCAGAATGTTTGAAATTTATGGGCCAATAAAATTTAAAAGTGCGAAGAGGTGAACAAAGGAGGGTAGCCAGTATTATTTTGCCGAGGAAGGGCACTAAACATTAACCATTATTATCATTTCAAAAAGAGAGGTAATTTAAAACAATCCTCTTGGGGTAGGAAGAACATGATCTCCTAATAGATAGTCCTTTAAATTAAGTGAATTAAATGGAGTGAATTAAATTAAAGACACTGGGCACCCTTACTTTTTCCCTTCAGAATTTTGAAAACTTCATCAAGGAACTGCTGGGCTAACTGATGTAAGACTCAGTGCCTGGCCTTTCTGCTCCCTGCTGTGGTTCTGCCCTCTGCCTGCAACTGATTCATTATTATTCCCCGAACCCTGAGCACATGCTGTTGAAAGGGTGGCAGGTAGCAAAGTTGCGATAGAGGATTTCTCTGTGGCTGGAACTGTTGAGCAAAGTTGTGAGGAGCGAGCTTAAGAGAGCAGCACTGCAACTGACTGAAATGCTTGACTGTTTAGGGCTATTTCGAAGTTGGTGAAAGGAGACTGCATGTTTTCACCCAGTGGCATCTGCCACTGTCCATGCTTCCCCTCTCAGCATCTGTGGCACGCTTTCCCATCAACTTGAATCCTAAAATGTGGGCATAACTGGAAGTGTTGATAAGGCAGTATTTAGTACTCAAGCCTCTTCTTTCTAAGCTGCAGCTGATTCTGAATCGGTGATCCTATTTTGCTTCGTACAATACCTTTCAATACCTTTCCTCCAAAAGAGCTATTCCAGACTATGTCAGATAGTCTGGCTGATCACACTGCTTGAAAGGTATTTTGCATGAGTTTTTTTTTTTTACGGCCTCAACTAAAACATTTGTCTGTTTGTTTGCTGTCCTCTCTGAAAAACTGTCCTGTGCTTAGTTACAGAGAATTCTTTTGTGGGCAAAAGCAAAACTTTGTCTCCCCTAAAAGGAGACCTAGTGGTGCTAGCCTTAGATTGGTGAACAAGGGAGGTAGGCAGCAATAACACCTATTAAAATGTAAAATTTGGTACTTAATTTTTTCAAAATGTAGTAATAACACCAACTAACAGTTATTGAACTAGGTGCCAGGTACTTTTTCTGAACGTTTTACATATAATATTTAATTTTCACAATCACCTTATAATATGGTATTTATTACTATTCCCACTTTATAACTCAGAAAACTCAGGCATAAGAAGTTAGGTAATTTGTCCAAGGTCAAAGAACTAGTGAGTGGTGGTATCAGAATTTAAACCAAGGCAGGATGACTTCAGAGTCTTTATTCCCGATGATAAATCACTTGTAGAGGCTTTTGAAATTCAGTAGTATACATAACATGAAGCTCTGAAAAAGGAATATTGAAAAGATGCCTGAGAGCCCATCCTAAGAAAAGAGACTACTTCCCGATGGACCAGGATTTGGTAGACATGTCCAGACAGTAGTTCTTACAGTGCGAATCATTAGCCTTATTTGGGAACTTGGAGATTCTCAGGCAAGACTCAGACCACCAATCAGCACTTGAGGGTGAGACCCAGCAGTCTCTGTTTTAGTCTGTGCTATAGATGATTCTTCTGCACATTAAGACTGGAGAACACTGACCTAGAGGGTAGAGCTGTGGGGGTGGGGGGAAAGTCTTAAGAAATAGCTGAGGCTGGTAGCAACAAAAAAAAAAGGCTGAAAAGATTGACACAGGTCAGTTGAGGGGTGGGAAAGGAAAGAGAAGTTGGGGGCTGGGAGAAGCAAACATAAAAGAAGTATATTTGTATGTATGTTTTAAAAGACCTGGGAAAAGGAAATGCATTAGCTGGTTGGATATTATGTCAGAAGAGACAATATCCATTTTCTTGGGACCAGAAGGAAAGTGAAAGCATGTTTAGCTCAAGCCTACGCCTAATGGGGGAAGAGTGGGAGATGTGTGTAGCAAGAAGTAAACTAGCAGAATGCCCTAAAGTTTAATGGAGAGATGAAAGGGCTAAGAATATGACAGGGTAGTGGTGTCAGCCTGTGTTTTGCATCTGAATCCAGCTAACCAAATACCATGAACTGCTTTTATGAGATGCCTCAGCCTATATAATTTAAACCCCAGCTTCCTTCACTTGTAACTGTCCAACTGAATGTCTAAGTTGGGTGTGCTAGATGGACTCTTCCTTGGGCTGGGATGGGGAATGACATTAAAGGAACTGGAGAGAATGAAGGGCACAGGTTGCACTTTGAGTGAGTCACTCACACCCCCTTCCCGCTGCAGAATGGCAGTAAAGGACAAACTCATGGCCATCCAGCCCATCAAGCAGGGTCGCCCACTTTGTGTCATTCCACTTGGTAGGGTTATTCCTCTATATCTGTTTTGTCATGTAAATTATACAAGCAGATACTAACAGATACTCTGTACTCTTGTGCCTTGTTCTGATTTATGTTTATTTTTAGCACCAGAAAAGTGCCACTGTAAGCCATGAGATGTCTGGTCTGAATTGGAAACCCTTTGTATATGGCGGCCTTGCCTCTATTGTTGCTGAGTTTGGTAAGAATGTGAAAACTGACAAATCCACTTTTGTAGTAAAAATGGCAGTTGATGGTGACAGTTGTTTTGGTGAAAACCAGAAAAAGAGTGAAAAGCATTCCCTATTTGTTTTAAAAACGACTGTCTCACAGCTAGCATGTAAAAGCACTACTAATGTTATGGCAAGTGAAGTTAAGAAAAAGTCAAATCAAGGAAACCTTTTTTATAGGTTAATGACTCGTTAATTTGCCAGGCTTAAGTCATACACAGAAGGATGTAGGTGAGAGAGGGGTTTCTGCTCTATTCTTGTACTACTGGGCTTCCCTTTTTGCCAAGTTGCTTATAGCTTTCTTAATAAGTACCCGAACTTCTTTTATAAACATCTAATTTTAGAAATTGACTAACAAAAGCAAACCAGCTTCTTCTGTTTGATTTTCATTTTGAAATATTTTTAAGTTGTGTTTTTTCATTTTCCCAATCCTCTTTTTCCTAACTGTTCACAAGTCACTCCCCTCCACTTTGTTGACTTTCTTGCCAAATGATTTGGTGTTGTGATATCAAGCTACATAATTATGTTAGTTTTAGACCTTGAAATATGGATGATGTCAACAACATGGAGGGATAGAGAGGCTGGGATCAACCCTCTCACAGATCTTGAAATAATCCTGGAAACATCCTGCCAATATATTGACCACTTTGTGTGTTAACATAGTGAGAAAGAAAGAAGTTTGGCTAATGACAGTTTCCCTTAGCACTGTGCTGGTGTTAATTCTGAGTTAGCTAAGGGACCAGAATGAGTAGACCAAATGGCACTTTACCATTATCTTTAATAATATTAGGGAACGTTTTGTTACTTGTGAACCGATAAAAGCACCACAAAACTGTAATGTATGAATATCTGGAGCAGCAACCATGCTTTCCTTTCTTCTCTGGGAAAATTTTATGATGGAGCAATGAGAAGACTTATGGTGGGAGAGGGATGGAAGGCGGCGAGAGAGAAATGCCAGATTGTATGTTACAAATGGAATTAAAAGATTTAAATTGTTTTGTCTGAGAGTCTGGGCCATCTTAAGTCACTTTGCTTTATCAGTTTCAGTTATACTGGGTCAAACGCTGCCTTCTAGATAAAAGGCAGTGCGTTTTACTTTACTAATACACTGTCCCCTGACAGTGCTGTTCTCATAGTGATCTTCTGTGTGTTATAAAATGGATTTTGCCGTATCTTTTAAAAATGGCCATTGGCTTAAATTCAGCTGCAACTTAACTGTGAGTCTCTGGAAACGCTTATGAGTGTGTTCCTTCATAGGAACTTTTCCTGTGGATCTCACCAAAACTCGACTTCAGGTTCAAGGCCAAAGCATTGATGTCCGCTTCAAAGAGATAAAATACCGAGGAATGTTTCATGCCTTGTTCCGAATCTATAAAGAAGAAGGTGTACTAGCTCTCTACTCAGGGTAAGATGGCATTCTTTCCTTACATCATAAATAGAAATATTTTTTAAGGAAGCCATATATTTTCAGCTCTCTGATAGTTTGTTTTTCACAGTCATCATTTCAACTTGTAATTCATACTGATGTGCCAGGTTATATTTTACTTGTAAATCTAGAGCTTTGCATTTGCATTCATCTGACTCTAAGTAATACATTTTAAAGTGGATATCTCATTGCAACTTTGGCTCCCTCTTGTTTTCTCCAGAGACATTTATAGCCTCTGTGAAGAGCAGCACCAATTAAGAGCACATATTTCTGTGATATTCTCCCTGAGTTTCCAAATGCTGACATCCTTGAAAATTTTCCTCTTTAAAAAAAATGCAGATTAAGAGAGGGAAACCCAGTTTTTTTTTTTTTTGGCCAACCTTTGGTTAGTTTGGGGTTTATTACCCAGAGTGTTTACCTGCTATCAACTCCAAGGCCACTCCTGCATCTAGGCTACCAGTTATGGCTCAGAAAATGGACATCACTTATATTATTAACCGATATGAGACTTAATTGAAAAGATAATCTTCTTCGGGGAAAAAAAGGAAGTAATTAATCCTGAAGCAAGTGAATCATGAATTATCTGTCCGATCTTCTTTCATAAGCATGAATAATCTACAAGATTTTTTTTCTGATAGCAAGCAATAAAGTTAGAAATATGCATATTTAGTCATTTTAAAATCTAAACCATCTGAGCTGCTGCTGTCTTTCTATTTATAACTACTAAAGTATAGTGTGCAGTTTGGAAGAATCTAGAAGTATGAGTGAAAATGTCTCTAGTTTATAAGCAGAACTTAAATAGGGTGAAATCTTGGCTCCAGTACTTCTTTCTTGTTAAGATTAAAGAGAAGCCTGCAACTGTTAGAAGTAGAGGATGATTTTTTTAAATCTATGAATTGAGTAACGATGTATATGTCTTTCGTCTGGTTTTGCTATCAGTATTTTATGCTAACTTCATAAAATGAGTTGGGGAGTGTTTTCTTTTATGTTTTCTGGAAGAGATTGTGTAAGATCCATGTTAATCCTTTAACTGTTTGGTAGAATTTCGCAATGAAATTCTCTGGGCCTGGAGATTTCCTTTTTGGGGAAGTTTTAAATTAGGAAGTTATATTATTTAATGATTATAAGACTATTCAGATTATTTGTTTCATCTTGACTGAGTGTTGGTAGTTTGTGGTTATACAGGAATTTGTCCATCTCTTCTCAGTTATTGAATTTGAGTATAAAATTATTTGTGATATTCCATTATCCTTTTTTTTTTAAAAGATTTATTTATTTATTTATACAGAACTGGGGTATAGGCCAGAGATGCGGAGGGTGAGAGGATTCACCAGAGACAGAGTGGGGAGCAGAACAGACAGATCGAGGAAGTACACTGCTGAGGGGAGCAGCGGGCGGGTCAGGAGAGGTCTGCCACGCCATGTGGATCTCCTCCAGGGCAGGCGGGAATCGAACTCATGCGGAAGTGGGTTTAGATTCTCAGTGCTGTGCTTTTAACCCGCTGCGCCACCAGGGAGGGCCCCCATTATCCTTTTAATGGATGTGGAATTTGCAGCGTTATGCTGTTTCAGTCCTGATGGTGATAATATGTCTGTTCCATTGTGTCTGTGCGTCTTGTTAGAAGTTTATCAATTTTGTTGATTTTCTTTTAAGAACTGACTTGGTTTCATTAATTTTTCTTTATTTTCCTATTCTCAATTCCTTGGTTTATGCTCTTTATTATTTCCATCCTTTTGCCTGCTTTGAGTGTAATTTTCCTTCCCCCTCCCCCATTTTTTTGAGGTAGATTATTGATTTGAAACATTCCTTCCTTTTTTTTTTTTTAAAAAGAGGCATTTAAAAATATTTATTTATGCATACAGAACTGGGGTACAGGCCATAGGCACAGATGCAGTGAGAGGATTCACCAGAGACAGAGTGGGGAGCAGAACAGGCAGATCAACAAAGCACACTGTTGAGGGAAGCAGCGGGCAGGTCAGGAAAGGCCTGCCGTGCTATGTGGATCACTTCTGGGCGGGGATTGAACTCATGCTGAAGTAGCTTTAGCTTCTTAGTGCTGTGCTTTAACCTGCTGCTGAAGGGTCCACTCCTTCCTTTTTAATGTAACTGTTTTATGCTACAAATATTCTCATGAGCACTGCTTTTGCTGTATCACACATATTTTCACAGGTTCAGTTTGCACTTCCATTTATTTCTATGTATTTTTAAAATTTCTCTTGAGACTATGCCCTATAGATGGTTTAGAAGTATACTGTTTAATTCCCAAGTGTATGAGGATTTTCCTTATTAATTTCCAGTTTGATTTCATTATGGTTAAAGAATGTGCACTATATGATTTCAATTCTTTTAAATTTGCTAAAGGTGTTTTATTGTGCTCTTCCTTGGCAAATGTTCCATGGGCGTTTTTTAAAAATTTGTATGCCTTTGTTGGGTGGCATGATGTGGGTAATAGAAATGAGTAGTCTCTCTCAAAATGTGTAATCTGCAATTACATGTTGTGTATAATTAACATTTCTTTCATTCTTTTTTTTTTTTTGGCAGAATTGCTCCTGCTTTACTGAGACAGGCATCATATGGCACCATTAAAATTGGCATTTACCAAAGTTTGAAGCGATTGTTTGTAGAACGTTTAGAAGGTCAGTATAGACCTCCATGTTTTCTAAAGAGATGGCTCATTCTCTTTGATGTTATACTAAAGGGATTATTGACATCAAGCTTAGTGAGAAGTAATATACTTCAAATCACTTTATTATCCCATATCTAATTTTTCTGGAACCACTTTTTCAAGAATCCTTAAGGACTGTCTCTTACCTAAATAATTTGCTTTCATAGATTCTTACCTTGGATTTACCTAGTTTCTATTTGTAGGTTCTTTGTGATGAGGAGGCGTGGTGAAGATTGAATTTTCACTTTAGAACAATATGTTCTGTGGTTTCTTTTTTCTAGCTGAGAGGACTTGGTTCTTAGAGACTAGTTTTTCACATTTGACTACAGAAACCTATAATTAAAAGAGGCTAATAAATATCAAAGCCAGTCAAAATTAATATTTAATTTTTTTCTATTAGACATAAGATTTTATCTTTTAATATTCAGTTTCTGAGTCTTTAGAATGGATGATTCTCCAGAAAAAGACAATCCTGAATTTATGTGGGGGATTGGTAATGTTTCAGGCTAGTAGGACATTACCTGTTGTCCTTTAGCAACAGTGACTCCTTTTTTAAAAATGACAATTTATATTTTACAAGATTTATGCTTCATTATTGGTTTGGGATCTAGAACTATTTTAGCTTTTTAATTTTTATAGGCTTTGTAGTTCACTTTCATCGTCATTTCTCTGACCAGGTTTCCTTGTTCTGATAGCTTTGTACTCTGTTCTCAGAAACGGTCCCCTAGACAAGCGGCCTTTTCTCTTTCTTTTCTACAGATGAAACTCTGCTGATCAATATGATCTGTGGGGTAGTGTCAGGAGTGATATCTTCCACTATAGCCAATCCCACTGATGTACTGAAGGTAAGAGAGATCTGGTGGCACTGGATGTGTGTTGTGCGGTGTGTAAAGAACATGTGCTTTGAGTCAGATGTGGGTTCAGATCCCTACCCTTTCACTTGCCAGCTGTGAAACATGGGGTAAATCACATAACTGTTTCATCTATCGTGAAATAAAGTTAACAAACACATATTGCATAGGGCTGTTAAGGGTTAGGAATAGATCTTACAGGTAAACTGCCTATCATCCTAACTGGTAGGTAGTGGATGCTCAATAAATAGTAATTTTTTTATGATAAGGCATTAATTCTCTGGTCTTCAACCTAGAGTTTGCAGAACCCTTAGAGGTTCTTTCTACAGACTGTAAAATTAAGGGAATAAATTTTTTGACCTCTTTTATTTGCACTCTCCTAAAATTATCTACAAATGAACCCATGTTTGTAATAGTCCTTGCTCTGTGATCTGTGATGTAACTAGGAGCACACCAAACAAAGGAATTAATTATAATAGTTACCACTTAAGACATTTTAAGTTTACAATGCCTCTGTCTTTTTCTATTTTATCTTTATTTCTATTGAGGGTGAGATTTGATTTTAAAAATGATATATTTTGACCTGTGTAGGGATGGTCTGAATTCAGAAACAGTATAGGCTAGTGCTGCTGATTTTTTTTTTTAGTATATTATTACATTTCTTTCAGATTTTATCAAAACACAATGAAGCATTTTTATTAGTACTATGAATCTTTGTCTTATGGTAAACATTTCCTACTTACTAACTTATGATTAATTAAAAGCACTAAACATATTATTTAAATGTGTGAGAAGTGTCTCAGGTTTTAAAAAATTATTTTAGGGGGAATGTGAAGAAAGTCAGGACACAATCCTTTATTTGAAACCAAAGGTGGCTGGGCTGATAAGGAGATACCTTTACACTTCTGTCTTTTGAGAACCTGGAGTGTGACATAAAAAGTGTGTCAAGGTCATTGATGAGGAGAGTTGGCTGTATCCTAAAACTCTGAAATATTTGCAACTAGTTATACTTTGTTAGAATGTGCTTTTCAAGAACAATAATACTTAACTCCCTAAAGCTTCTGTTTTTACTCATCTGGATCCTAGGCTTAATCACCTTAGAGAGTTGCTTCAATTTTCTGTCCTCCTGACCTCCCTGGTACAGTTCTAACCATTGACCAGTGTTGTAATCTCCCTCCCCTACTTGAAACTTGTCAGGCTGAGTGGAGCTATGCCTGTGGCAGTCCAGTGTAGGGTTTATTATCACACTTGAACTGTTCAGTCCTCTCACTTCTCCTTCTCTAGTCCCGGTGACTTCCTTGCTTTCATGCATATAACTCTCGGCCCTCAGTGCTTTTCTCCCTTTTCTTCATGAGTGTTATCCTTCAAGACTGCTCAGGAGCAGGACCAGTACTAGGGTGAGAAAATGAGGTGCAGACTATCAGGGAGCAACAGGAAACTTAGTAATCCAGAGAAGTAACTTTTAATGCATGCATTTTCAAAAACTGAAAATGAATGCAAAAAAAAATGAATGATGAAGAAAATCTTCAAATTTTGTAGAATTTATCTTATTCACCTCACCCTAGTTCTGGTTTGCTGTATCTTGTCTTTAGTAAAGTTTTGCCATTGGCTTATTGCAGGGTTTTGTGCATTAATTTTGATTTCTTGGAGTATTGCATTAAGAGTAGTTATTTTGATTACTAAGGTATTTCATCTTCCCCTCCTCCTTTTTATATCTGAGTAAAGTGCCTTATTTGCCTCATTCTAGTCCTATGCCTTGCTCAGGAATCACCTGCTTGAAGAAGTTTTCCATTTACCATAGATGTTATTTGTGGTTTTGATTTGTCTTTTGTTATAGTTTCTATTCCAATTTAATTGGGCCTAGGTTTTTATTTCAAAATTCTTAGGTAGCAGTTGACTTGCCACATAAAAACATGCTGCTCTTACAGCATCTACTGAGGACACTTACTGAAACCTGGACCCTGCTTCACGGAGGTCAGCTATCCACTTGGCTGCCAGCAGTGACCGTGGCTGCATACGCAGAGTCTGCAATTGCACCAGACCTTGCATAGGCCCGCCTCATGCTATAGTTTCTTCTCCTGACTCACAAAACTCACTTTACAGAATACAGTATGCTTTTTACAAATAAAGCTCAATGTACGGTCTTTGAAGCATAACATTATACTTAAAATATTCTTTGGTTTTCATAATTACATAAGCAATGCATATTCATTGTAGAAAAGAGTAGAAGGCAGGAAAAATACAAGTGAAAGATGCTTTGTTGCCTCTTTATTCAGACTTGAGTTCCGAAATATTGGTTTCTTATTTTTATTTTTGATTTGTCTCCACCGGGTCTGACCCAGTCTTTGCTCTACAAATATGAGTTGAATGACCCCAGTATCTTCAACTGTAAAAAGAGGGTGACCGTGATAGTTATGTCTTTCTCAGGGTGTCTGTGATCATGAGATGAGCCGATCCATAGCACTGTACATATGGAAGTCATTACAATAGCTGGCCAGGAGGTGGGACAAAAGTCATAGAGAGGGACAAACCTTACCACTTTGAATATTTTCCTGGGGCCACTTCTAAGTGATTGTACTTAGAAGTTACTGCACTCAGAACTTTGTCTTGTATACCAAAATCCTTTGTACTGTGTAAGCCTGAAAGAATTCAACCACAAAAGCGTTCCTAGAGTTTGTGGCTTTTATAGAATGAAGTTAGAATCAGAGGCTAATTCTCACAGGATCCATTTGATAACTTGTTTGGCAGATAATCAGATTAACTGTTAAGAGTGAGAGCCTGAAGTGGAAAGCAACAAGAATTTACTCATTACCCATGAGGATCGTGATAAAGTGGGAGATTGTACAGATTGCAGAAGAGATGCCAGTCATCCCTGCTCCCACCCCTTCCTTAGAGACCTTGGCTTCTCTCTGCATCCTGTCTGTCCACAACTGTTTTCAGAGATAGAGAACCGAGTCAGAACCTTCTGACCACAGAAAAGTAAAGCCAGGGCAGGGGTATCCCACTTGGATTGTCAAGATTTGAACAAAGATGTGGAGAAAGAGTCTACCTTAGAAACACTTACAGCGAGGTCATGTTGGGCCAGGCTTGAAACACCGAGTGCACACAGCAGCAGAGGGCCAGATAAAGTGCTGCAGCTTGATCCACCAGCCCCACTTGGATGGCAAGGTCAACTTAGAAAGGCTATTTCATTGAAAGGAATGAAGATTAACTAGAAAGTAACACACATGTAGTTTGAATAATACAGAAAAAATAAACTGAAAAAGTAATGGTGTTCATTTATGGTAAGTGCTGGCGCAGGCAGCACTGAAGCAATAGAGATTTTTGTGGAAATTTTGGAGGGACTTTGGAGCTGGCTTAAGTTAAAGACTGATGACGCCAGTGTCTTACTATGTTTGGGAAGTTTGTGGGGAACATTAATTGCCTGAGGTAAAAGTCGATGTCCTATGAATGGTAGAAAATGGAGGTGAAAAAGGACTCACATGCTAAATTCAAATTGGGATGAACTGGTGAGAAACAAATGGAGGAAAAGTTATTCAATCTTATCATCTGTGGCATTTAGTTTGGCTGCTGTCTGGATCTGGTGGAAGGAGGATTTTCATGGAGGCAGGGCTGACAGACTTAGCTATGACCATATAGCTCATGGTAAGCATTTTTTTTTTTGTTTTAGTTATTTGCCCTTTATGCTTTGTGACTCAAGAGCACCAAAAGGAGACCGCCGTTCTGACTGCAGTGTGCAGTCATTGCCAGCCTCTTGTCACCAACTTGATCATGAAACCATGTAGTTGGCAAGGCCAATGTTGAATGTCAGATGTTTCTAATTTCAAGTGAGTGAATTATCTCATTTTGGTGCTTTCTGTCAAAAAATAAGCTCCTATCTTCTTGTTTTAGATTAGAATGCAGGCTCAGGGAAGCTTGTTCCAAGGCAGCATGATTGGCAGCTTCATTGATATATACCAGCAAGAAGGAACAAGGGGTCTCTGGAGGGTGAGTACATTCTTCCTGTATATTCTTCAGAACTGTGAGCTCCTAGAATTTGCAAAGGATGCTTTTTATACAGAGCCATAAAATCATGCATTGCCATTGAATGCTTACATACTGTATGTGTAAGATTCTTGGTACCACAAAAATAACCTAAGAAGCTCTTTAACACTTATAAAAGGGCCAAAACTTATCACTCATCTTTCTTCTGCTTAATGTTTGCAGGGCTAAGTATAATTGGACATGAAGTCTAAGAATTGTCTGTAGTCTAAGATTGGGTATAATTCACATACCATGTAACTCACCATAATGTGTACACTGTAATGATTTTTGTATATTCACAGAATAGTGTTTAGATTGTTTATGTCATCACAAAAAGAAACTCCCTGCCCAGTGAGTAGTCCCTTTCTATGTCCCTCAAACCTCCCAACCCCAGACTGCCACTAATCTACCTCCTGGCTTTATAGATTTGCCAGTTCTTATACCTCATGTGAGTGGATTTATATAATACATGGCATTTGTGACTGGATTGTACTTTTTGGAGATTATGAATAATGCTGTTATGAACATTGTGCAAGGTTTTGGGTGACTATGTTTTCACGTGGACACATTTATGTGTGATGTTGTTGGGCCACAGAGTAAGTTCTGTGTTTAACTCTCTGGGGAAACACCGTGGCTGCCTCATTCCCCATTCCTAGTAGCAGTGTACATGGGTTCTGATTTCTCCACCTCCTCACCAACACGTATTTTTTTTTTAATCCTGACCTTCACAGTGGGTATGTAGTGGCATGTCATTGTGGTTTCACTTGTCTTCCCTAAGGACGATGATGCTGAACAGATTTTCATGTGTTTATTACCCATTTGTGTATCTCCTTTGAGAAAATGTCTAATTAGGTCTTTTTCTCATTTTTAAACTGGCTTGTCTCTTTCTTATGTTGTAAAAGTTCCCTGTATATACTGGATACTTTTAGATATATGATCCACAAATTCTTTCTCCATTGTGTGGTCTATCTTTTCAGTTTCTTGATGGTATCCTTTCAATCACAAAATGTTTAGTTGTGGTGAAGTCCAATTTACTTGTTCTTTTGTTGTTTGTGCTTTGAATGTCCTGTCAGTGGTTTTATTTTTAGTACAGCAAGTCAATTGGGAGTTGGTAAGTGTTCCAGCATTAGCCACTGATTTGAAAGAGTGACCTCTGTACTTCACATTTTGATTTTTCGGTTGCTTTTCAATTCTTAACTCACATTATTCACATTTAGATTTATGTCACCACCTGTGTTCTTCCTTGGTGTCTGATGTCACTGATGTTTTGTAGGGCGTCGTCCCAACTGCTCAGCGGGCTGCCATCGTTGTGGGAGTAGAACTGCCCGTCTATGACATTACAAAGAAGCACCTAATCTTGTCAGGGATGATGGGAGATACGATTTTAACACATTTTGTGTAAGTATTCCAGGTTGTGCTCATTCTTTATTTCCAGCATTTTGGCACAAAGCATCTTTCACTCACGTCCTTATATAGAATTGATAACAGGTACGTATGGTCTAAACACCCTCCTTGTCTCTCTTACCACAACCTCAAGCCTTCTGATCCACGGACAGCCTCCCAGATTCTTTGCGCAGCTTAGTGCCTGGGTCAGTGTGTAACCCAGCAGCCTATCGGATGTCCACAGGATTTGCATTTGTTCCTACCAAGCCTCTGTATTTAATAAACTCATCTGTTGTGTGGATCTGGTTAATTTTGGATTAATGAGAATCAGAAAAAAAGGTAAAATAAAACCACAGTTTTGGCCTGAAGACTGTTGCTAATCTCATCCTACATTTTCTTCATCTTCTGAGTTTTCTTTTATTGCTCAAATGTATTTGGTACATGACGCTGGGGTTTGAACATTCCACATAGCTAGCAGATGATGTGTGACCCTTCCTACTTCGGGATCTAGTTAGGCTTATTTCCATGTCTCCTTAAATAACAAGAAAAAAAAAAGGCTAGCTGAGTTTCAGATTGAAAAGTTAAGGAGGCAACTTTTAGATGATACTCTTGGAAAGATTTCCTTTCACTTTTGGATCATAATGAAAGGACAGTGCCAGGCGTTATCTTATAGGCCTGGCTCATTCTACTTTTTTCTCCCCCATCAAAATTTTATTGATTTGCTATTTCTTTACAAAAATATATGCTTGGGAGTATAGCTTCACACCTCCACATTTGTACATATCTCATTTGCCCTCCACCAAAGCTCTAGTGACATTTAGCTAGTTTCTGTTCAGAGGGCAGGGGTGGAAATGAATCAGTCTTGCTTCTTCAAATTTTCATCTTTAGTTCCAGCTTTACGTGTGGCTTGGCTGGGGCCCTGGCTTCCAATCCTGTTGATGTGGTTCGAACTCGCATGATGAACCAGAGAGCAATCGTGGGACACGTGGACCTCTACAAGGGCACTTTGGATGGTATTTTAAAGGTCTGCAGACTGTGAGCTTGGGTTGCATTTTTAGTTTTCTGTTTCAGAGTGCCTTTCAGTCCTTCTTAGTTGCCACATAGCTTTCTGAAAATGAGAGAATTAGCATGTCTGTTTTTTTTTTAAAGATTTGGTTATTTGTGCAATATAGAACTGGGGTACAGGCCAGAGGCACAGGGTTGGTGAGAGGATTCACCAGAGACAGAGTGGAGAGCAGAACAGGCAGAGCAACAAAGTACACTGCTGAGGGGAGCAGCGGGGGGTCAGGAGAGGTCTGCCGGCCATGTGAGATCACCTCCGGGACAGGCGGGGATCGAACTCATGTGGAAGTGACTTTAAGCACTGTGCTTTAACCTGCTGTGCCACCAGGGAGGGCCAGCATGTCTGCTTTTAGTAGTCTCTCAGTCATCCCCAGATTGAAAAGCTGTGTCCTTACCCATCTGCTGATGCACAGCAGTCCTTAATATTCCAATTTGAATGCCTGAGGGTGTAGATGCTTTTATCAACAGCTCCATGTAGAGTGATTGATAGAAAAGACCATATCCCACATTTTCTTCCTTCAGATAAGATTCTGTGATACAGGATTTAGTACTCAGTTTCAGTTCAGCATTGTGTTACTGGTTTTGAATGTTTCTGAAGTGCTAGGTTCGTAAGAAGCTGAATATCATAAATGTATTATGTAATTTCTGATGATAATACTATGAAAAAAAATTTGGGACTGTAAGACACCATTACCATATGGTTTTTCTGCTACTATCAGTTTGGTTTAACAGCTATTATCAGACATCATTTTAATAGATACAGAGAAATTCTAGCATACTGCGTGTATCCAAACATAATCAACACAGCTTGGTAAGTGACACATTTTGGGATTTATGGGAGGAAATTTTAGTACAATGTGGAAGTTTGAGATTGGCTTCCTGATGATCCTGGCACATTGGATAATCTTAACTGAAGTCTGTCAAGAGCTTTACTGTGTATCAGGGACTATTTTAATGAGACTTAGTCTTCACCATTACCCAGTGAGGTAGATACAAAGTACTGAGGGATGAGGGAGGTAACTAACTTGCCCCAGGTTGCACAATAAATGGGAGAGCTGGAATTTCATCTCTAACTGTTTGACTTCAAGCTGGCATTCTTAACTTCTGGTACTTTCCTCTTGTCAGCGGCTGAGGGTTAATTGGGTCATAGAGGACATTGCTATGCTGAGGTGCTGAGACTTGCTTTTTTTTTTTTTTTTGTTAACTTGATGGGGAGCCACTGAGAGATTTTAATCAGGTCAGAGTTGCATTTTAAATACATCACTTGGATTTTGTGGAGACTTGATGTAATGCAGTGGTTTTCGATCTTAGAAAGGCTATGGAATCACTGGGGAACTTTCACAGCTTCCACATCTACCTTAGATCATTGAACTCAGAACTTGGGATGGGGGAGTGTGAATTATTTTTCAAACACATCAGATGATAACAATGCTAATCCAAGGTCGCAGAGTTTTAATTGCAGTTGTTACTGGAAACTTTACTGTGCCAGACAGTGTTAGGTGGTGGACATGTAATGTGAAGAAGACAGTCCCTGCTCTCCTTAACATTACATTCTATTTGAGGGAGACAGACAGTAAATATCCAAATAATAAACAGTGTGATTTCAGATAGCAGTAAATGCCATGAAGAAACTAACAGCATGAGTGACTCGGTGATGGGAACTGCTTCAGCTAGGATGACGAGGAAAAGACTGTGAGAAGGTGACATGTAAGCAGAGGGATGAACGATGATAAGGTAGCCACGTGAAGATCTGAGAGAAAAACATTTCATAAAGAGGGACAGGTACAGAGACCATGAATTGGAAATGAACTGAACATACCCAATGGATCAAAAGAAGGCTGGTATGACTGAGTGTTCTGAATGAAGGACGAAGTGGTAAGAAATGAAACTCGAGAGAGGAGCAGGGTCTAAATCATGAGGATCCGGAAGGTCATCACAGAAAATTTGCAGCTAGAATAGACTTCACTGGGAATCTACTGGAGAACAGTAAGCAGGAAAGTGACACTCTGACTTATAATTTGAACTTACTAATTTGATTGTTTTGGCTTCTAGGCAAAAACTATAGACCACTTAGGAGGCTAATTGTGGTAGTTTAAGAGGAGAAGAGGTGGCGCCATGGCTTTGAGATCTCTTGTTATTACAACAGTCTATGATTCTGCATCTGGGATTTATGTGGGCTGCTTTTCACAATTTTCCAAAATGAGTTTTGGTTTGAGGCCCTCAGCATTTACTGGAGATCTGCTGGGAGAACCGTGTTATCATTACATTTGCTTATTAATACCTCTATTATGTTACTATATGCTCCTGAAAACGGTCAGTGAGGATAATTTTCTCAAAGAGTCCTTAATACATAGAATGGAATAAGGGCTGCTCACAAATCTGCATTTTCCTGTTATTGTCTTACCCAAATATAGCCACTTTTTAGTACAATGGCGGATTTTGCATCATAGTGGAAAGGTAAATGAACATCTTTCAGTGTGTAACAATGCCTACTGTAGAAGTTACTTACTAGGTGAATTTATTGAATGTGAACTTCCCTCTGACTGAGTTCCGCACACACCATCAGCTTCTGAACCTTTGTTATACATAATTTGTCACTGAATTCTCATAACCACTCAGTAGATCTGTGTAGAACTATTTTATAAAACAGGAAAACCAAGGCAATTCACTTGGTTCCACATGTAATTCTCAAAACAGCCACACGAGGTAGCCATTGGCAGTACACAGAATTCACACCCAGAGGGTTGTGACTTGCCTAACTCCTTACCTTGTTTTCCTTGGCTTATTAGTACTTAGCAGTTTTGGAGAGAATATATATCAACTTACGTATTTGTCAGCTTCAGGACAGTATATACCCCAGGAGGCCAGGAACTGTAAAAGTTATCTCTCATTACATAACAAACTCCTCTAAAGTTCAGTGCCTAAAAACAATACACATGGATTATCATTAGCACCCACTTTCTGTGGGTCAGGAATTCAGAAAAGGCTTAGCTGAGTGATGTTAGCTTAGGCTGTCTCATGAGGTTATAATCCAGATGCGACCTTGATCTGCAGTCATTTGAAGACCCAAGTAGGTATGGGATATCAGTTTCAGAGGTCACTCATGCAGCTAGTAGCATAGGTGCTTACTAAATCTTTGTTGAATGAGTGAGAAGATGGAGTTAGACTACATATAAATGTAAAATATATGCATTTGGGAAAGAAGACCATTCATGGAGTCCTAAGTGGTTGGGGAAGGGCATGGGAGATGAACAGTAGAATAAAATGGTCAGATGTAAAGAGAAAGGGAAATTCACTTGTTTTTAATTATATCTTTTTCTCAGATGTGGAAACACGAGGGCTTTTTTGCACTCTATAAAGGATTCTGGCCAAACTGGCTTCGACTTGGACCCTGGAACATCATTGTATCCTTTTAACACACAAGAATATAAGCCATTCCATCAAGATCTCAGGTAATTATAGGCTATGGAAAGGAACTTTTGATAATTGAAGCTTTTAGGAAGAGAGAAGTATAAGCATTCCCAGGGTGATAAGTGAGGATGGCACTGAGTAGGGAAGCAGCTTTCATTTGGAGTCTAATAAAAACTACAGGGAGTAGGAAAGATATGCTTCAGTTTCCTCTTTAAAACGAAACAGTTCTCCAACAGACACAGCCATTTCGGAAGGAGTTCTGAAGTTTTTGGAAACCCTGATGGGAGCTGCCCATGGGAAAGTCCAGAAGGAGTTAGTCCACACTTCCTACCCTTAACTAGAAGACTAAAATAGCTGAGAAATAAGACAGAAAAGAAGGAAGCCAGAGATTAGTAGGACACTTATGGGTGAATCCCCCTCCAGTTGTGCATCAGTGCCTCCTGGGTAGGGCTGCGGACTGGTAACATGTCTGGTGTTCTGTTTACAGTGGCGAGCACTGCAGAGCTGACAAAAATTCCCTGCCATTGTGGAGCTGATAGACTAAGAGAGGGGATTTCTCCCTCCTTGAACTGCTCTGATCACCTGATGACTCTAGCACTGAATTATGTATTTTTAGTTACTGCATTCTTGGCTCTTTGTGCGGGTGTCCTATCTGCCCCTGAAGAGTGTATGTATGTTAGAATTCTTGTTTATGTTGCTCAGTGCTAACAGTCCTTCCAGGCACATGGTAGGCACTCAGCACATACTTGAATTACAAGACATTATTTTAAGAAAGTATTTTAAGGAATTGCAACTGAGAATAGCACAGACTAAGTTCTTCGATTTTTAAAGAATGTAATATACAGTTTTAGAGCTGTGTCTGGCTTTCAGTATCAACCCAATGATCTTCCATGACTAACTCCTCAGTTTTTTATTACGTACGAGCAGCTCAAGAGGCTTCAAATCTAAGGACTGAATATCATGTGAGCCAAACCCTGCCAACCTTTCTACTCACCTACTTTACCCTTTTCCATGTTCTGTTGTCTTTTGACAAAATTGTGTTTACTGAACCATTGGTCTCCCAGAACCTCCTGATGGAAGAACACTAGGATGGTTCTAAATTGTTTCTAAATTGCTTGTGTTTGTATTACCATGTTAACTTTTCCCTGAGAGAAAGTGTTAACATTGAGAGTCTGGCCACAGATTGGTATCTTCTGTGAAGATGGATACTGATGGATGACATTCCAAATGGCCTTCTTTTCAAATGTGGGTTCAATGTGGCTGGTTAGCCCCAGACTGGGCTCAAGCAGAAGGCATAGGCCAGGGCAGTTGCTGCAGTGTATGTCACAGACCTCAGTTCTCATTAAAGTATTTATTGGCAGATCACTTTGACTTTGTCTTCATTTACTATTTTCTCCTTTGCCAACTCTCTTGGTTATATTCTCCCAGAAGGAATGACAAGCAGGTGACCGTGAAACCCGGTCTAGTCTCTTAAAGCACATTGATGATATAGACTACGTGTGTTGAGCTTCCTCGTTGCCATTTTTTGACACAATGCCATTCAACTTGTGAACATCAAGTAAATAATTCTTTCCTAAGCATGAACAATAATAAATAATAAACAAGTAACACGTTTGCAAATTTCTGTATATCAAATGCAGAGTCTGAAAATAAAAGTGTGTGCCTGAGACTCTGTTTTAACAAGCAGCAAGTTCTGACTACATTCTTGTACTAGAAGAGTGCCTAGCACATTGTGAGCACTCAGATATTTGTGGAATGAATAATTTAGTTCTTCATCTTTATCCATTCACTCATTTATTCAACAAACATCTATTGTGTGTCTCTTATGTCCCCAGACATATATGGGAATATAAAAGTGACACAGTCTTGGTTTTCAAGCTCACAAATGGGCAAGTAGATCATTATAGTAGATACCCAAAATGTCATGAGAAATGAACAAAATGAACTGTAGAAGTGCAAAGGAGGCAACAGTCAGTGACCAAGGGGTTTGGGCAAAGCTTTGTAGCAGAGGTGACATTTGGGCAGAAGAGCAGATGGTGCCTTGTGGCTAAAGCAGGGAAGGACATTCTAGGCATGACTGAAATGTAAAGCAGTGGTGAGGCAGAATAGCTTGGAGGTCTTGTGAAAATGTAGATGCATGCACCACCAGCCAGAAACTGAACCTGTTTGGGTGAAAGGCAGTAGTTTTGTTACAAGTGTCTGATGCAGATGGTCCTTAGAATACACTTTAAGAAGCACTTGGAAATAAGTGTGGGATAAGGTGAGAGGAAACAAAAATAGCGTGACGGGGAAGCTCATGGGGATTACAACTGAGATGGAAAAAGGCACAAAATGATGTAAAAATAAACTTATATTAAATTTTTTTAAATGAGAAGGCCCTCCCTGGTGGTGCAGCAGGTTAAAGCACAGCACTAGGAAGCCAAAGCCACTTCCACATGAGTTCCATCCCCGTCTGCCTCGGAGGTGACCCACATGGTGCAGCAGACCTCTCCTGGCCCGCCTGCTGCTCCCCTCAGCAGTGTACTCCAGTAGATCTGCCTGTTCTGTTCCCCACTCTGTCTCTGGTGAATCCTCACCGCCCCTGCACCTCTGGCCTATACCCCAGTTCTGTATGCACAAATGAAAATAAATCTTAAAAAAAAAAGGGTCAAATTATGAAGGGTCTCTATATGCTCTGAAAGAGTGGTTTTTATCCTGGGGGTGGGGAGGAAGCAAAGAGAGTTTAAAGTGGGGGAACAGTATAACTAGGTTTTATTTTTTTTTTAGGAAAGTAACCCTAATTTGAAGAGGAGTGAGGGGAGCAAACCCAAAAAGTCAAGGCCCACTAAAATCTACTCCTTTTTATTTACAAGTAGACAAAGTTCTAGAAAAACTAATTTGTTCCAATTTACATAATCAGATTGTGGCAGATATGAGATGCACATATGTTACCAGGTTTCTTCACTGTCTCATTCTACCACCCCACATTACTTCCTTATTAAAATTTATTTTTTTCAGTATGATAGAATAAAGGGGGCGGGAAGCTCAATTATTTTCAATATAAAATTTGAAAAAAAAATTTGAAGTTGAAGAACACTTTAGCCAAAGTATCAGACTTAAGTACGGCTGCCTTGATTTAGACATAGGCCTTGGCAGAGAGTACACCTGAAAGCAACTGATGCATTTTTTATTTTTGGTGCAGTGACTTCTCCTTTTTCTTAATCATATATTCATACAGTATCCCCTCAGGTAATTGATAAGATGACTAGCACATTCTGACTGAACACTAAGGGTTAACCCATTTGGTGAAACAAGCTGCAGTGAGGGTGCCTCAGGGAGTAAGTGAGGGGCCACTTCTTGCCACATAACATTTCAAGGGGATCGTTTCACATGTTTATTGAATTTAGTGTTTTACAAAAATACTCATCATAGAGTTTCCTTAAGGAATAAGCTCCCTGTTGTATCTTTGTATTGAAATTTTTGATTGTAAAGTAACTTTAGGGGCACATCAGATAGGATGTCTTTTAAGACATATTGAGAAGGGAACTCCTTTAGAGTCAACAAATACAAGGAAATAATAAAGGGACTAAGAATCTTGCTTGAAATCTTGTTTGTCATAAAATTCAGACCAACTGTCAATACTTTATGTTCAGCTTATCTGTAAAACTAAAATGCCTAGAAGTAAATTATTAATTAAAAAATGCTCAGAATGAAAGGATAACATAAAGATGAACAAGTACCACTACTGAAAGAGAAGTAATTCTTTTCCCAAGTAAAACGCCTAACATATCCAAAGGATAAGAACTGGTGAGATGATGAAGAAGTCCTAGCTCATAGGCTACTGCAGCACTTGTAAATGGGGAGGGTCCTTTGGAGGACAGGTGGGCACGTCCTCAAAAGTTAAAAGCTCAGTAATGATGACTCATTAATTCCAATCCTAGGTTTATACACAACATAAAACAATGACTCAGATACTTGTTTATCAGTGTTCACTGCAGCCTCACATTAGTCAGAAGATGGGAACAACCCATATGTCCATCAGTTTGAGTAGATAAACAAATGTGATCTGTTCATACAGTGGAATATTATTCAGCCGTAAAGAGGAATGGCATACTGGCACTTTGCGACAATGTGGATGAACCGTGAAAACATTATGCTAGCTGTGCAAGAAGCAAAACTCAAAAGACCACATACTGTATGATCCCAGTTATATGAAATGTCCAAACTGATACAATAAGAATTTAAATTCTACCATATTTTAATGGAAAATTAGTAAAAGTATCATTTTTAAAAGGTCGATTTCATCATTAGAAACCAAAACATCAATTTTTCTAGTATTACCAATAAACCCCATGGACACACCCACCCGACTCCCAGGCTACTCACTGTTTTTTTCTCTTCATTGTCCGGATGTGAGGTTTTGCACATAATACATGCTTGATAAACTCTTCCAGGCTAGATAGGCAAATCCATAAAGACAGTAATTAGTGGTTATGTAGGATCATGAGGGTGGGGGGGTAATTGGGAGGAACTGTTAATGGGTATAAGATTTCTTTGGAGGATAAAAGTGTTCTAAAATTAGAGAATGGCATTAGTTGTGCAACTGTAAGTATACAAAGAAGCATTAACTTGTAAATTTTACAAGTGATATTTATGGTGTGGAAAATGTATCTTGGTAAAGCTGTTTTTTTAAGCCAGCATGTGCTTCAGCTTGATCAGGATGGCTAGTGAGGGATTTATATCCTTTCAACTACCCTGTGAGAAAGGTACTATTCTAATTTTTTTGATGAGAAACTGAGGCACAGAAAGATGGGCTCGTTTGCCCCTAGAAAGCAGAGCCAGCCTCTGCGCCCAGGCAGTCATCTGGCTCACGGACCGCACTTGTAACCTGTGTTAGAGATGCACCAACTCCACCTTGTCCTGAGTCACTTAGTTTATGGCAGGTGAGCAGTAAAGAATATTGATTTCATTAATTCCCCTATCTTTATAGCACCCTGGGAGAGAGAAGGTCAATAGTTGTTGTGGTTGGTCAGTCTTTGACACTTCACTCGTACTTGATTTAGATTATTTTCCTGGAGACCTGTGACCCAGAGCGTATCCCTTTCCTCTTATCCCGACATGGATTGCTTCCCTCTTGTGGGACTGGCCTTCCTTCTCCAGGACCGCCTACCTCGCTCACCCTCCCCTTCCTCCTCCAGCCTCAGGAAGCACAGCTCACCACACACAGGAACATGTACCTGTTGTAGATCATTTTTTGAAGACCTTGGAACTGTTGGTACAGATGTCACTAATTTAAACTGTAATGATTTGGACATTGGATCAGGCATTCAGATATACTTTTTTGATGTCGTTTTCTCATGTTTTCATGATCAGACTTCTGGTCTCTCTTCTCCAATGCAAAAAACGATGTTGCTGAGCTTATGAAAAAATTTATGGAAGGAATGATTAAACTATTAAGGACCTGACTATAAATGTTTTCTATTCACTAAAAAGCATGGCACTTAAGAGATATTTTTGTTAGCTTAGCTCAGTTCGGATATTGTATGTAAGTTCAAGGAATAAAATTTATTTTTTAAGATAAGTATGTCCTCCATTAGAAGACTATTTCTCAATCTTATTTCCTGGAGTTAACAATAAAAAGGATTTTCCTTCTTTCCATACAGTGTATTAACATCTGAATTCAATTATATTTTGGGCTGCATGTATCTCACTGTAAATACTCTTCATGCATCCTTGACTCTTCCATTCCTTTCGTAATTTATAATAGAAAGGAATTTAAGCTTTATCACAGCATAAGGTTGGAATTTTGGATTATGAAGTCTTTTCCACGTTTCAAGTAGCCTCAGTCATTCAGATATACTTTTTCGGTTTAGTTTTCTCATGTTTTCAAAAACCACCCCCGAGATGACATGGCATTTATTGAATAGCTCAGTGGAGACATCTGCCAAAATACTGGGTGCTAAAAGCACATGAGGCAGTTTTGCAAATCAGCATGGCGTTTCACTGGCCCTATCACTGTTATCTCAGCATGTTTATCAGCTTTTTAATGCCTTAATGTCAACACAACTGAGACAGAACTGGAATAGATATGGGTTTTTTATAGCACATAGGAAATATGATTCAGTCGTGGGATTGGTGGGCAACATACACCAAATAAAAATAAACCTAACCAATGACGCCTCCTCAGATTCTTGGTGTTACATGACTTTATATATAAAATGAATCTTCTGGAGCCAATGAATTCTGCCTGCCACATTGTTTAGGAGGGCTTTTGAAAAAACAAACAGGAACTCGGAGACCCTTAGCAGCTGCAGTGATTGTTTCCTGGACTCTCATGAGAGGGCTCTTTGAGCGCAGTGCCTGATTCTCATCCCAACAGCCTATAATGCAGTGGCCATATGGCGGGCGGGGGCGTGCTCAGCCCTCACGCACTTTACTCTGCCATGGTTGATCCCTTGGGTGGAGCACATCTTCCCTTTCAGCAAGGCTAGGAGGCCAGGACTAGACTTCACTGCATTAAGCCCTGGCTCCTCGCTCCATGTGAACGTGCTGTGTTCTTATGCCTAACTGGCGCTTCACGGTACTGCACGAAGCAACTATCTTGGAACATTGTAAGAGTGAAAACACAGTGAAACTGGTATCTGGATATTACACAGTGCTGTGTTGACGCTGCACTGCACGGGGTGTTCTTTAACTGCTGGTTGCATTAGTCTTGATTTCTAAATTTGCAGATTAACTCTAGCTGGAGGCCATAGAACTTTTCTGTGGCCTTTTTGTATGTGTTTTTCTCTTTGTAGAAAATAGCCAGTGAACCCCCTCAGTGTGGTTTATGCTTTCAGGTAACATGCATTTTTATTTCTTTGAGATACTCCTATCAGTTTTGTCTGTTCATGGATCACTTCTGACTTTTCTTAGCAAGTATTGTAGGGAGGCATCACATTTTAAGAAACTCCAGCAAAAATATGGATCACCATTCTTATAAATGCTTAACTTTCCTTGACTTAGTGATACTTCTTCTGAGAGTTAAACAGAGATGTGTGAAAGATTCATATGCAAGGGCATTTAGAGTGAGAAACTGGAAATGACATAAATGTACAACTAGAGGGAAACAGTTAAATATTTTATGCTCATGTTGAAAAGCATTCAGTCACTACAAGTCATTTTTTGAAGAAAAGTTGGTACAGGAAAATAGGTACAGTAATGCTAACTACAAAAACAGAAGAAGAAGAATAACAGGTAATCTCTAGATGGTACAATTCTGGGTAATTCCGACTTTATATTCTCAAAAATTTCTAAAATGAACAAAATTGCTTTTATAATCAGAAAAGAATAATAAACATCATATATACATCCACATACATTTAAAAAGAAATCCCAGCAAAGCTGGAGCAATTTTAGCACCTCCCTATCAATACACATTGTGGGAGAGATAGATGGAAAAGTGGATGAATGATAATTGACTCGTGGCTATCACCATTGAATTTGCAGAACTGCAGAAATAACAAATGGAGATTTGTTAGCTTCCAGACATCAGTTGGAAGGCACTGAAAGAGTTCCAGAATAAGAGAGTCGGCTGGGGGTGCCAGGGCTGTGGTCTGGCCTTGGGTCTCTTTGCTGCACCTGTTGCCCAGCTGTTGCTCGCATGTTCGCTCTAGTTGTCTGTGTGCCCTCTCGCTCATGTGTCTGCTCCTTTCACTGGTCTCTAGTCAGATTGGCCACTGACTGAGCAAGTAAGAGTAAAATCAAAGTCACGAGCCCACTTCCCATTTGAACTAGTAACACTTCTCCATAGAGAGAGAAGATATCCCCAGGCGACTGACTGGCCAACTCGCAAATACACAAATTCATAGACATGCTAAATGTCCGATTTATAATGGACCTACTTTCTACCCTATAAGGTCTTAATATCTTAAGAGACTGCTGAACAGGATCTGACTTGCTTGCAAATTTATCAGGAGACAGCATCGAATGCAGGCGCGAAATCTAAAGGTTTCCTCTCCAGTGCTATTATCTTCACTGTGAAGGAGCCGTGTCAAAGAAAGCCATTAGGGTTTTACACAACTTTTTGTATCTCTGCTTTGGTGGCTTATTAACCACAGCATTCTTAATAGCAGTTACTCTTAAACCCAAGCATATGATATATGCCTTGCTTATATCTGCTCTGTCGTTCTGCCAAGGTATGAGATTTATGATTTGTCTTTTCCAACCCAAGTCATGTCTCATCACTCATTTTCAAAAACCACGTTCAGGTGTTAAACAGTCGCAGCTTGGAGCCTAACTGTCCTTGTGCTAAAGGTCATAAATCTACAAAGATGACAGATTTCCTTAAATCAGGCAGCTGGGTATTTCCCTCAGAATTTTTTTAAGGAAGGGGAAGGGAACTAGCATTTTCTGAGCAGTCACAGTGTGCAATAGTTTACTGGGCCTTCTCACACATTACCTGAGTCTGTCCCCACTCTCACCCTATGACACGGACATTATCATCTCAATTTTACTTTGAGAATTTAAACAAGTGAGTCATAATTGATCAGAAAACTATCTGCTGTGATTTCTTCTCTGCACATACTGACTCCCAGCGGTAGCAGGTTTTCCTCAATGAAACAAAATAACACCCATCACCCAGCTCTGCACTCCAGCCTCTCTCCTTTATAGCAAGGCCAGGAAATGAAGCTTTGAGCCACCACCAAGGGGGGCATTGGTTTGAACCTGCTTTCAAGTCATGCCCAAATCTAGTTATGGTCTGTTTCACCTAGTTCCCAGTAACTCACACCCCAGCCCAAGAGTGTGCCATAGCGTGTGCTGGGCGCTCAGCACTTCAAGGCATACTGGGTTCCTTTGTCCACTCGGGAGTCAAAAAGACCCCCAGCTGTAGGCACAGAAAGCCTCTATGGGTGAAAGCAAACACGGTTCTCTGGGCCAGAGTGGTAAACAGAGCAACTGAAGGGAGATCTGCCAGAGGAGGGCTGGTGTATGTTAGGGTGATCAGCGAGAGACAGGTCCGTTGGCTGAAGGCAGAGAGTCCAGAAGGAAGAGGGAGAATACTTTTCAAGAGTGGCGAAACTGAAAGGAATAATCACTAACCTCTGAAAACTGGTGAAAACAAGCTGGGAGTTTATGTGAGACTGAAGGGAATTAAAAGGCCTTGGCTCCCGTGGTGGGGTGTCATCTTTTCAAGAGGAGGAGGGTGGATGCTATCCAAATTCTAAACATTATAGTTGGGGATTTAAATGAAAAATCTTGCAGGCCTCTTAGAACTAGCCACCACTCACTGAGCTCAAATGCATCTTTTGACCAACTCATTAGATATACAGAGGTATTAACCTTCCAAAGTTGTTTGGGCCCCCAAACCCAGACAACTCATCCCAGCCCGTTCGGTTTCCTTTTGCCCTCTTCTGTTGTCCACACGGCAGTGTTTCTCAGGAGATAATCTAGTTTAGGGGCTGTCAGAGACACGGCTCAGAATCCACGGCCACAGCCAGGACATGGCAGGCAGGTCACAGGGAAGCTGTGTGGGGCCTGGGTTTCCGCTCCTCTCTGTTCTTGAATGTCTGCTGCCACAGTGTGTGAGTGACCTGCACATACATGAGACCAGCTGCTAACACACTCATTTTCTAAACCCGCAGGAAGCGGGAGGCGGCACCCGCTCTTCAGCTGGTCTCATGAGCCATTTTGGTGGCACCCTCTTACGGTAGCGTTTTTTTGAGAAATGCAAATTAGGGGGCAAATGGAAGAGGGGCAAACTCCATAGGGCACAGTGTGTCCAGTGCAGTGAGCTGGTCCTGCCTGCCTGCTACCTCTCCCCCTCCCCCTTTTCCCTCTCTCTTCCCTCCCAGTGCCTCAGAATTGGTGTTTCAGCATTGTCACCAGCAAGGAGCTACAAAGTGACATGTGAGGCCACCCGAGGAGAAGGCGTACAGCAGAGTTAGGGTGGACTGGGAGCAGGAGCAGCAGAGAGGAATAACATTGGCTATTTCCCAAAGAAACAGTATTTTGAGTACCAGGAGGCAGGGCAAGGGCAAGCTTGGAATTTGACTCTGGTTCCTGAATTTCCTCCAGGCACTCTAGATGACATCTCTCATTTACTTCTGAAAGGAGAACACTCCACAGTTTTCCAAAGCAATCACCATGGGAGACATTTGAAAAGAATCTCATATCTCCTGTGCCGGCACCTATCCCTACAGTCACCAAAAGCCACGTGTGGTTCTGGGCATTTGAAACCTGGCTATTTGAAGTAAGAATTTCTGTACGGGTAAAACACACCAGCTTTCAAAACATTTTGATATAAAAAAAACAATTTTTTTATCAATTACTTTTTGAAGTAACATTTTAATTATACTGTGCTAAAGGAAAGCTGAACACTTGCTCTTATTTCTTAGACCTCTTTAATGTGGTTACTAGAACACTTAAAATTATATATGTGGCTTGTATCATCTTCCTATTAATACTACTCTAGTGCATTCAAATCCAGGGTTTGATTTTTAGGCCTTTTCAGGAGTTACTTCTTGCTTTAAATAAGTCTTCCTGTACAGGGGAAACAGTCTTGTTACAAAAGGAGAACAGGGAAGAATGGAGATGGGTGAATGGGGGAAAGTGATCCCAGAAGCAAGCCAGCACCCTGCCTCTGTTACCTGTCAATCTGCAGTACGGGGTGCTGGGGCTGATGGCGGCTGACGGCCTGAAGCAAGTGCACCTAGCTTCATCTAAGCTCCTAGTTGGGGCAAGTGGGGTGGGAAAGGCACTTGGAAACTTCACCACCCTTACCGTGTTAGCTATGAAGCTGTGAGTGGGAGATAGTGGCGATACGACAGGAACTTTCCCTGGAGCCCTCTGGGCCACCATCCCTGGCTGAGAGGAGGAGGAGAAGTGAGGCGAGCCCTTTCTTGGTGCCCAGGGCCATCTGGTAGAGCTGCTGTCGCACCTCTTTCTGCCAGTAGGCATAGAGGAGTGGGTTGAGCAGGGAGTTGCCCACACCGAGTAGCCACAAGTACCGTTCCAGCACCAGGTAGAGGTGGCACTGCTGGCAGGCCACCTGCACAATGCCAGTGATCAGGAATGGGGTCCAGGACAGAGTAAAGCTCCCAATGAGAATGGCCACCGTGCGAATGGCCTTGAAGTCACTGGGAGTCCGAGGGGGCCGGTAAGCTCCAGATGTCGCTCCTGCGTGTTCCATCTTTCGGATTTGCTGATTGTGCATGGAGGCAATCTTGAGGATGTCGCAGTAGAAGAAGACAAAGAGGAGCAGAGCTGGGAAGAAGCCTGCGCAGGAGAGGGTCAGCACATACAGAGGGTGAAACACTGCGAAGAAGCTGCAGGGCCCCTGGTAGGTGGTCTGCTGGAACACGGGGACTCCCAGCGGGAGGAAGCCGATGAGGTAAGACAGCAGCCACAGCCCCACAATGCAGGCCCCGGCCACGAGCCCACTCATGATCTGCACGTAGCGCAGGGGCTGCTTGATGGCGAGGTACCTGTCAAATGCAATCAGCATGACGGTGAGGACCGAGGCAGCTGCAGAGGAAGTGACGAATGCCATCCGGAGGCTGCACAGGGTCTTCTGCGTGGGCCGAGCAGGGCTGGAGAGCTGGTCTGTGACTAGGCCAGAGATGGCCACTCCGAGCAAGGTATCAGCCACAGCCAGGTTCAAGGTGAAGCAGAGACTGGCACCATCATTCTTGTGTATCAAAAAGAGCACAGCCACAGCAACTAGTACATTTGCTGTGATGATAAGGAAGGCCAGCACAGCCAGCGTCACCCCAAACGGAAACGATGACTCCATGTCTCGAAGTGGCAGGATGCCCACTCACCAGGGCATGCTGTCTTCCCAGCTCAAATTCTCCCAGGCTGAAGGAGCCCTGGGCTCACAGCTGCAGCACCGTTCTGCATCACCGGCTGTCCAGACTGGCGGCTTTCCCCGCTGGGGATCCTGCCTTTTTTACTCCTCAGCCTCCTGCCTCCCCAGCTCTAAAGGCAGCAATCCTCTGACAGACCTCCCCCTGGGCCCGAAGCTGGCCCCTCCTCCTGCACAAGCAAGTCACTAGACAACTGTCAAGTACCCATGCACACCGTTTGGCCAGGCTCTCTGCCTGCACTGAGGTCTGAGGACACTCTTGGGAGGGACTGGGCGGGTCTCCTGTCTGGCAGGAGATATCCCTCACTCTAATCTCACTTCTCCTTCCTCCATGGCTTGATATTAAATTTCCACTTCTTTTCTTCTTAAGCCTGAAGTACTAGCTTAATAACAGAGGTTATCATTTGCTTAGTAAGGAATTCTCAGTTACTTTTTTGACTGTTTTTTTTTTTTTTGGCATAGATGTGGGGTGTAGGCTAGAGGTGTAGGAGCTGAGAGGACTCACCAGAGACAGTGGAGAGCAGATCTACTGAAACACACTGCATGCTAGGAGAGCTCTGTTGTACCATGAGGTCAGCTCCCTGGCCGGGGATCGAACTCAAGCCATAGCAGTGATAGCGCTGAAACTTATCCCTTAGGCCACCAGGGAGGCCCTATGACTGCTTTTAGTCAAGCAAGATGATCATAATCAGTTGAAGTGGGATGGGAGGGCAGGCCAGGTAGTTCAGCGCTTAGCCGATTTTCAGAGGATAAGCACATATTCAGACTAGTTCTTACTGTTTGCTTTCAGGCACTTCCAATTCTAATTCTCTCCAATATGTTGTGCCATTCTCCTCTCTCATTTCCCATGAAGCTCAATTTGTTGAGGAAGGGCAGGAGAAACAAAGTAGAATGAATAGCTGTCATTCATTTTAGAATAGAACTCTGTCCCCCGCTTAAAGCTGTTGTCTGCTGGACATGTGTGCTGCAACCTTGTTCCGCAGCATGCCAGGCCATGTCTCTGGTCCTGAGGAGTGACTGTAGCCTTGCCTTTTAAGAAAAGATTATTTATGCATACAGAACTGAGGTACAGACCAGGGGTGCAGGGGCAGTGAGAGGCTTCACCAGAGACAGGGTGGGGAGGAGAACAGGCAGATCATGAAGTACACTGCTGAGGGGAGCAGCGGGTGAGACAAGAGAAGTCTGCCATGCCATGTGGGTCACCTCCATGGCCGGGGATCAAACTCCAGCTGAAAATGGCTATGGCTAGCTTCATAGTGCTGTGCTTAACCTGATGCGTCACCAGGGAGGCCCTGTTGCCTTACACTTTTTTTCTTTTTTGCCTTGTACAATGTTTGATTTCTCCTCTCAGGTATATTCCCCATAAAATTCCCAGCATCAAGTCACCCATGAAACATTACCAGTCTCTTGTGCTATTCCCTCCCTGTGCCTGCTTTTCTTGACCCTGGAGACCTGAGCTACCTCCAGGATAAGAGACGAGGAATGAAGCTGCTTTCTGGAAGATGGCTGCGCTAATGTTGGTTTGTGGAATTTTCCATTTTCCAGGGTTAGGACTTGTGTGGGCTAAGCCACATGGCAGCGGTGTTGCTGAGTCAGGCGCGAGAGCCTGGGGAGAGCAGCTGGGTTGCTCGCTCCTGCTTCAGATGGTATCTCCGTTTGCTTGGGCCCATTAGAACTGACCTTTTGCTTTGACCGTCTTGGATACCAAGGAGAGAGGGGTGGGCAGAAGAGCTGTTAGAAGCTTATTTACTCAGTTCAGGTGAGAGCACAAATGGGAAAGGTTAGTGTTTTAAGTGAGCAGAGAGCAAGTTGCACAGTTAAAGGCAAATATTATTTTCAGGATGTTTGGATAGTCTGAGAGGGGCTTTGGCAGGTGCCTCCCTGACAGGGAGCAGAAAGTCTGTGGAGTGGGGGCTGGCTGCCTGTGCCAACCTGATAGCATTTCTTCTTTGGTATATCCACCAGGAGGCTGATTTCAGTCGCTTAGCACCTGGCCTCAGGTGCTGGGGCTGTGGCTGCCTGCCTCCTTGTGACGCCCCTAAGGTTGGTGGGCCAGGGATATTGTCATCGCCAATTCCCAAGTACAGAAACTTAGTCCGGGAGAGTGAAGGGATCTGCTACCCAGCTAGGAAGGAGGGGTAGAGCTGGGACTGGAGTCCAGTTCTCACTTCTGGTCCAAGGGCTTTTTTGCGATTCCATGTTGTGGAACTGGCTATGGTAGGCTGAAGAATGTATCCCAAAGATGTCCATGTCCTAATCCCTGGAACCATGAATGTGTTGCCTTACATGACAAAAGGGACTCTGCAGATAGAATTAAGGCTCTAGGGATGGGAAAATTATCTTGGATTTTCCTAGTGGGTCCATTGTTACCATCATCAAGAGGGTGGCAGGGGATCAGAGTGAGCAGTATTAGGGATGTGACAATAGAATCAGGAAACTGGAATGAAGCAAAGGAGGGGCTCAAAGAGGCCCCAGAAAGCTGGAAAAGTCAAGGAGATGGATTCTCTCCAAAGGCTCCCAAAGGAACCAGGCCTGCTGACACATTTACTTCAGTCCAGTGGAGCTGGCCTTGAACTTCTGACCTTGAGAACTATGAGATAATGCATTTGTATTGTGTTAAGCTACTGAATCTTCAAATTTGTTATAACATCAAGAGGGAACAAAAACACAAGCTAAAGGGTTCAAAAGTGGGAGCCATCACTGTTGACTGATGAGGTCAGGAAGTTTTCTACATAAGAGATGCCTTGATGGAAGTTCAGAGCTTGGGAAGGTTTTAGTCAGAGAGAGGAGAGTGGTCCAGTGGTATCAAAGTTGAATAATAAAAGGGGTCCTGTATGGTATGGACAGAAATGGAGTTTGGCTGAAATTGTGCCTTCATGTTGGGGAGCAGAGAGAGAAGACTGGCAAATGGGGGCTGGGGCACATATAAAAGGACAAAAGAGCTAGGATGCATGTGCTAATGACTAGGAAAGGGCTGACCGGACACCATGCATTTTATAGACACTGCAATAACACAATTCCTAGGGCTTGGTGACTGGCTATATATCTTTGGGTAAGGAATAGGGAAGACCAGAATATGATACCCTATTTTTGAACCTGGGCAGCCAGGAAAAGTGGTAACTTTGAGTAGGGACATCAGGAGGTAAAGCTGATTTGGGATGTGGTATGGTGGTGAGAAGTGGAAAGATAATACTGGCCACACAAAACTGTCCAGTCTGTCCTCCTAAAATGTGCAGATGGCCGTTGGCTTCCTTTGCATTGCCCAGAGAATGCAGAACTGAGCTCTGCATACATTGGGTGCTAAGTGAATGTTATTGGTGGAGATCACTAGTACCTGCACTGGACAGAAAACCCTGGTTCTCCTCTCAGACGTTAAGTTCAGATGATCCTCCACAAGCCTAGGCCTTTCCCACTCAGACTTAGGTAAATCTCTGGGCATCATCTTACCTACCAATTCCTATCAATTGCAGGCACATCTGTGATGTCCTGGGCAAACTTGGGATGGTTTTCAAGCTGTACCAGCTTTAGAACACACCTCTGCTGAATCCGCCAGTTGGATAATAGTCTATGCTCTCCTCAACTTAAATTGTCCTTCCATTTGGTTGGTCTTACTCTCCTCCTTTGCTCTGGCTTTATTCTGAAATCTGATGACTAAGGCCCAGATGTAGCCCCAACTCTCTCATTTCATAGTCACCTGAAGAAGCCAGCCATATAATGCTGCATGATTGTTTACCACTTTGCAGTGGCTACCTCAGCCCTACCACTAAGCAACTTAAGATTTCTAGGAGCAGATAAAACCGGAATACAATCTGTCACTGTTTAGTTTTCACTACCAAGATAATTTTATAAAGTTAATGAATAGCTGGGGTGAGGTGGGGGCGGGGCACAGACCCAGGGAAAGAAGAGAAACTGTCATTAGTGGGCAGCCTGTTTTACTTCTTGACAGAACACGGGAGTCCTGGTGAGCCATTTTTGGGTCTATCCCTCATCACCATCACCATCAATGAGGCTTTAATGAAGGGCCTTGTTTCTGGGATTTTGACCTAGGCCTACACAGAGAACTACACAAGTCTGGATTTTCACTCTTACATCAGATATTGATCTGAACACATGCAAGATGGAACAAATTTTCAGTATAGCTTCGATCACACACTATATGCAACTGATTCTTCTACTGGTTCCTGGGTACTTCCTGAGTAGAATGTATCCATTCTTACCCTATTACTAACCCGATAATAATAATATTGTAATAATATATATTGTTTAATATTGTAGTAATATAATAGCAATCATCATCATGTCTCCTCAATGATATTATTAGCTCCTCGCCAGGTGAGAACCCAACCTTATACTCCAGTCTAGAGACTAGCTGTACAAGACAACTGAGGAAGCTCAAAGAGAATCGATTAAATCAGCAGGGGCTGAGTACCTTTCAAGCTAATTAAGTCCTCTGAATCTGTTTATTCCTCTATTAAATTATACCTACTACATGGGTCATTATGAAGCTGGATAGCCGCCAATAAACATAAATTACTTAACATACAATCTAGTATTGTTTTGTACATTATCTGCTAAACTGTTAGCTATTTAACAATATTAGTTTCTGCCTCCCCCTCGAGTAGAATACAGAAAAGAGTAAGTGTAGCAGATGTCCCCCAAGTCTGGGTATTCAGTTCATCCCAGAGAAAACCAACCAGTAGACTATACAATGGGATTTGGGGAACAATAAAGGATTTTCCCTTTCACACATCTTGACTTTCCTGCTGTAACTCTCAAACAGGAAAGTTCCGAAGGAAGGTGGGGGGCTGGGGGGCAGGGAGACTGTGGGGCTTTGCACCGGGATTGAAAGCTGGGCTTTATATATATATATATAAAACACTTTTTTTTTCACTAGCTTCATTCAACAAACATTTATAGCTGACTCAATTAGTGCCAGGTCTATTCCAGGAGCTGAGAATTCCGTATTAGATCAGGCTCACAACCTTGTTTCATTTCACATAAGGAAAAACCGACCGGTTGCAGAAATCTCTGCGTCCGAACCAGACCTACCTAGCGGTGACGGTCGCTGACGGCGCTAGTGCGCAGGCGCCAAGCTCCGCCGCGGGGAGTTGGCTTCCGGCGCTGCTAAACTCCGCTTACGCCATAAGGCGCGCCGCGCAGCTGCCACGCGTGCGCGCGCGCGCGCGCGTAGCCTCACCCGGAAGTTGATTCCTCGGTGTTGAGCGCGAACTGGAGAAAAATGAAGTAAGGCCTCAGCTTCTCTCTGGAACCTGGGGCGGACCGCCGGGAGTGGCCCACCAGAGCTGGGGTGGTAGAGCGTCTGCGGGGCCGAGGGCGGGAGCCGCGCGGAGACTAGAAAACTAGTACCATAGCTTTGCGCTTCCTGATCTCTGGCTGATCAGCACTTACTTGTCCCCTTTTGCACCCCTGTGCAGCCCTTTAACTAAAGTGAAGTTGATCAACGAGCTAAATGAGCGAGAAGTACAGCTTGGGGTGGCCGAAAAGGTGTCCTGGCACTCTGAGTACAAGGACAGCGCTTGGATCTTCCTGGGTGAGGTCCACATCTTTCTTCCTTGGTGCCTTTCTGAGTCTCCCCTGGCCGGCTTCCCGACATTTCAACATTCCTGCCCGCTTTCTCCTCCACCTTCTTCACACCCTTTTAAATCCTTTTGCTGTCTTGCAAAAAATCATTGCCCTTATCTCTTTTCTCCATGATTTCTACTTTGCTCGCCCTGTCAAACCAGCGGTCCTGATCGTTACTGTCTGCCTTTCACTGTGCGAGGAATCTTGCCACTTTGTTTCTCAGAGACCTTCATCCTGCCCTCCCTCTCCCCCCATTTCCTTTATCCATTATAAGGCTGTGAAAGGGAGGTGCGGAGAAGTTAATGAACTTCCTTTAGGTCACAGAGTAATAAGTGGAAACAGCCAGAACTATGGAAATATATGGAAATATATAATTCATGGGCTCATTGTCCTATATTACTAATAACTACCACACCCTTGCCCTCCCCTCAGGATTCTTTTTCCTTATCTAGTTAGCTCCCGGTCTTCTGTCTGTGGCCATGTTACCCTCTCTATAGTTATTTTGTGCCATATCCAGTCACTTGACTGTTTAAAGAGGTTATCCCACCAGACACTGTGCAAAGCACTTTATATGCATAGTGTTATTAATATTGTGAGGCGAATACTATTATCTCCATTTTACAGACAAGGAAGGAAACATTTAGTGGAGAATTTATTATTTTTTTTAAGATTTATTTATTTTTCATACAGAACTAGGCCAGAGATGCAGAGGGTGAGAGGATTCACCAGAGACAGAGTGGGAGCAGAACAGGCAGATCTATGACGTACACTGCTGAGGGGAGCAGCGGGCGGTCAGGAGAGGTCTGCCGGGCCATGTGGTCACCTCTGGGGCAGGCAGGGATCGAACTCATGCAGAAGTGGCTTAAGCTTCTTAGTGCTGTGCTTTAACCCACTGCGCCACCAGGGTCAGGAAAATTTATTTTTTATAAAATGCTTAACAGTTGTCTTTAGAAGCCTTAGTCTCTGAAGTGGGATTAACATTTATTTGCATATTTAAATTGATTTTGTTTTGCTATGTGGGTTAAGAGCAGCTGAGTTCAAGATCTATTTGAGGAAGCAGAGTTCTGTCCTGGGATCTGCCTTGTCCATAAGATTTTGGGTGTGAGACCCAACAGTTTGGTTAGAGATGACTGCCACTTTTCCAGTCAAAGTTAATCATTTCTCTTTCTATACTACTGCTATACTTCATATGTCCTTCTGTCATCACATGAGAGTTCAAGATCTTTGGAGACCAGCCTTGGGACTTGCTCTTTTTAGAACCCTCAGTGCCAAGTCTATTTCCCAGCCCATAGCTGACACTTAGTAAGTGTTGAACTAAAATGGGATTTTTCTCTTCTAGGAGGACTTCCTTATGAACTGACTGAAGGGGACGTTATCTGTGTGTTCTCACAGTAAGTCCCCCATTTCATTTCTTTCTTCTGAACCTTCAAAATAGTTTTTCACCTCCAGAAATTAGAAATTATCACAAAAGTCATAGATTTTAATTCTAGGCTGACAAGCATCTCTATATGGGGAGGGTACACGCTTCTGCTTCAGTCTAGATCAGTTCCAGGACATACCTTTAGAACTCCCCCAATTTAGAAAATCCTAGAAGTTATATGACTTAGGAATTCTAGTCTATTTTTATTGTTTTTCCATTGTGGCCTGTTGAGCCTGGACTTAGATTGGAACAGACAAGAACTCGTAGGAATGTGCTGTGTTGCCTTTTCTCTTTTCTCACTCCTAAGATCTGTGATCACAGAACTCTTCTGAGCACACACCAGTGCAGCACTGTAGGATTAGGGCAAAGCAAAGAAGACTAGAAAGCGAGGATGTTTAGACAGTCGTGTGTGCTCTTTGGAAGGCAGCTGTGCTCACCACTATCCACCAGTGCTGCAAGAGTTTCTTTGTTTCTAGATGAGTGTAAGGTTAGTGAGCAGAGGTACTTTTTTCAACCTGAGGCTGAGACCACAGGCGAAGAGAAAGGATGGCTAGGACAACCTTATATATTCTTCGTTCTCCTATATGATGATGGCAACAGCAACAGGTAGAGAGAGTCTTGGCAGCTCACGCTGGCAGGGGCTGCTAGCAGGAGAGGAGGGGCTACGCACAGCCCCTCACTGCAGAATGGTTACTGCACAGGGCAGCAGAGCCTTGGCAGCTCACAGAAGCAGAGGATCACAGCTCCTTGGGTTGCATAGCCTCCAGGGCAGAGGGCAGTCACAGAGAAGGGGGGCAGAGGCAGAGGGGCTGGCTGAGCAAATATAGGCCACAGACCCTGGAAGAGAATTGCCTGGGCTGGGGCTGCTTGGGCCACTCCATAGATCATATATCTTTGTTCACTTGTTGTGGTTCTTTTGTCATAATAGCCCTGGCCAGCACCGATACAGTATCAAGTAGTATTAGTAGTTCCTGATTTTAGGTAAATCCTCCAGTATTTTTATTAAGATGCCAGATTCCAGGTGTATTTGTATGATCATGTTATAATGTAGCCATCAATTCCTGTTTTATTTTTATGACTTTTTAATTTATGAAGTTTTAACTTATCTGAAATTTATCTTTATATAAGGAATGAGATAGAAGTTAATTTCTAATTGTATCTTTAACTCCCATCTGCTTTCCTTAGATTTGCTTCCTTTTATATTCATTTCTTCTTTTCTAAGTATAAAATTCTTTGAAGGTTACAGATTTTCCTGAGTATGACTTTAGCCACCTCCAATAAGTTTTGGTATGTAGTCTTTTCATTTTAGTTATGTTCTAAATAGTATGCCACTGGCTTTTTTTTTTCTTAATTGTTTTACTTTCTTGCTCTATCCTTATCTGACTTTGTAACTTTTCTATGTCATCCTTCATTAGATTTGTCTCCTGTACAGACCTCATTATTTGAATTTTTTGTCCACCCATTCTGAAAGTTTTTGAATTTTAATTCAGTGTTGTCTTTCTTTCTTAAAATAAACAGATATGGCGAGGTTGTTAATATTAATCTGGTGCGAGATAAGAAAACTGGGAAATCCAAAGGATTTGGTTTCCTTTGCTATGAAGACCAGAGGAGCACAATTCTGGCTGTTGACAATTTTAATGGGATCAAGGTGAGTTTCCTTCTTAAGTAGAACTTGGCTAGATTTTTCTGTGTGCAGGGGTTTTGTTTCTTTTTCTCCCTCATCCCCACAGGCTCAAGGACAGTTCTGGTCAATTGGGTGTGTGGCGGCAGTTGCAGGGGTATAGACTCACACTGGCCAGGACACCCCTACTCTTTTATGTGAGACCCTAAGTTCAGAAAAGGGTATGGGGCAAGTCATGGTCCCTGCACTCATTTAGGACAAGCACTGCGGTTGAACCAGCATTGTCACTGGTTGGGAGTGACTTGATTAGGAGAATGTATCACTGATGCACCAGTATGGAACAGCTGGAGTCTATAACCAGGGGGAGCAAGGCTCTAGCTGGCTGTTTAAGGGATCCAGTAGTCAAAGGGAGTCATTGCAAAAGGAAGGTCTTCAGAAATGTTTTGAAATGGAGGGTGAAACAGACAGTCTTTATTTTAACTGAGTTGTTACAGTTTTAGTTGTTGGTTACCCAGAGAATTATGATTCACAGCAGAAATGTCAGTGTGAGTCACTTGCAGTATGCTGGGGTAGAGCAAGGTGGCGGGGCTTCAGAAAAAGAGCTTTTCTAAATTCTTTCTCCCTCCCAACTATTGGTCTGCCTTGGCTTCATCCTAATTGCCGTGTTCAGAAAGCAGCTGTGGCATTGTGCTCAATTTCAGGAATTGCTTCTAGATGCCAGGCTTTCCTACAGGATGTTTCACTATAAATAAATGTTACAGATTGAAGGTTATTGTGTATATACATTCTTACCATTTTCCCCTGCTTGTGCTTTGGGGCAGTACTTTTCACAGAGTGAAAAAGGACTTAGCACATAAAAATATCTGTATGGCTCATTAGGTCAGCTGCTGCCCCTGGGACTCTCACTACCTGGGGTCCACCTGGGTGCTCTTATGGCCCAGCAGGTTCATCTCTAGGTATACGTGCATGACACAGCAGTTGGGCAGGCCTACTTTAGAGCTGTTCTCAGAAACAATTAGGAAGATCATGGCTGTGGTTCAAAATGGGGCTTTCTGCATCTGGGCCCAAATAGTTTGATAGGAGGGCTGTCTTTGCTGAAGCATTCCCTTTCTATCTTAGATCAAAGGCAGAACTATCCGAGTGGATCATGTGTCTAACTATCGGGCTCCTAAGGACTCAGAAGAAATGGATGAGGTGACCAGACAGCTCCAGGAAAAGGGTTGTGGGATTCCCACCCTCATACAAAGTTCATCTGAGAACTCTGAAGATGACAAGCCCATAAAAAAACACAAAAAAGGTAACATGTTAGGTCCCAAGACAGGATTCTGGGTAGTCTTTGTTTGCTCTTCCTGACATTATTAGGAGTTTTTCAGTGGAGAAGAGGTGTGGGGATGTTACTGTAATTGGCAGAGGAGAGGTATCAGATGAAGGCTAAGTGCTGTGGGTTGAGTCATGCCCCCTAAATAGTTATGTTGTAATCCTAACCCCCAATATCTCAGAATGTGACTGTATTTGAAGACAGGGTCTTTAAAGACGTGATTAAAGGCAGGAATTGCCTTGCGCAGCAACTTAGACATATCTAGGGTGGCAGACATTGATGCCTTGGAGGCTCGGGAAGACCGCACACTGCTGCCAAAGATGCCATTCTTGTGTGTTTCCTTTGCCTCCTAGTGCATGAAAGCTTTTGAAGTGTAATACTTGTATTGCATGTATTTGGAGAAGAAAAACTTGGGGACAGTTCTCTATTTCTCTTTTCTTACTGCCACTGCCCTTTTTCCCTCCAGACAAAAAGGAAAAAAAGAAAAAGAAGAAAAACAAAGAGAAGACTGAACATGAGGTCCACGCAGAGCAGCCAGCCTCTTCATTACAAAACAAGAGAAAAACTGAAAAGGATGACGCTGGCTCCATAAAGAACAGGAGCAAGAGCTCAGAAAAGGGTCAGAAGTCAGAGTCCAGGGAGGAGCAGAAGCAGTACCCCAGCTTGCCTGAAGTCAGGACGACAAGCCATGGTGGAGCAGAGGACCGAGATAGGCAGCTGAAGAAGGAGAAGCCCAAGCATGAACACAAGTCCTCAAGTAGGAGGGAAGAAAGAGAAGATAAGAACAGGGATAGGGACAGAGGTCGAAGCTCAGACACACATTCCAGTCGGTATGATGGGCGGCACGATGGGCGTTCTGAGGGCCGGAGTCTTAGAAGTAGGAGTAGGAGCTCAGATAAATCCCATAGGTATAAGAGGGCCTGGCACTCCCGAGAGAGGGAGCCCTCTCATCCCAGTGACCGCAGCCATGACCGTGACCATCATGATCGTGACCGTGACCGCGACCATGACCGCGACCATGACCGAGACCGCCGTGACCATGACCATGACCGAGACCGCCGTGACCACCATGACCGTGACTATCACAGTCGCCACGACCGAGACCGCCACGACCGAGACCACCATGACCATGACCATGACCACCACAACCGCGACCACCACAACCGTGACCGAGATCGAGATCGCAGGCATCACTGAAGTTGCAGCCTCTTCAGCTGCCTGTAGAACTGGAAGTGAACTGTTTCTAAATTGTAAGCAAGTTTAGTTGTTTTTATTTTTTTTATATGTATAGTCTTTGAGGTTGAATTCTTTTATTTAATCCTGAGAGATCAGGGTTGTTGTAAAAGCTCAGAAGTCTTATAATTTTTAAAATATAAACCAAGGTCCCTGGGAATACAGTTGGTGCTGTCAAAGTATGTATCCCAAATCTGGGTTCATAAGAGGACCCTTGAACCTACAGACCCCAACTGGTGATAAAATGGACAGGAAAGGGGGACTATCCTAGGCAATTCTTGAAATCTAGTCTTTGTGCTAGAGGCTTAGAACTCTTGAGTTGACCTTTCCAGTTTGATGGTAGAACTGTAAAGTAGAAAAGTATGACTTCATACATAGGCTCACATGAATTGGTATAAATGTCACGATGATTCTTAACAACGGTCTGCTCCCTTCCTCCAACTCCCTACCCTTTTGATGAAATTTTAAACATTTTTGTTTTCTGTTTTATTGGTTGGTATATGTCCCTACATTTTCCCCTTGCAATTTATTTATTTATTTATTTTATTGAGGTGAAATTCACATAACATAAATCATTTAAAGGGAACATTCACTGTGTTACAAAACCACCACCTCCTTCTACTAAGATATGATAATAGCCTCAAATGAAACCTTTTCCTTCTTCTCTGGGCACCAACCAGTCTGCTTTCCTTTTCTATGGATTTGTCTGTTCTGGACTTTTTATATAAATTAAATAAATCATATGATTTGTAGCCTTTTGTGTCTGATTTGTTTATTTAGCATCCAGTTTTTGAGGTTTGTCAAGTTATAGGAGACCAGTATTTCATATTTTTTATGACTATAAAATATCCCATTGTTTATGTAGTTCCTCGGTAGATGGACATTTGGGTTGTTTCTACCATTTGATTAAGCAGCTCCTGTTCATGTTCCAGATACGCCAACTTCCTCTGGACACTCTGCTTTTCAAGTAGCCACTCTTGCTGAGATGGGCCTATTTTGTCGGCCCCATTGCATATCCATCTGGTCTGCTTGGCAGTTCTTGCTCATTTTGAGTCTTTTTACTTTATCAGCCAGTCCCTTCTGTATTTGGTAGGAACTAGCTCACAAGACCTCAGTATTCCTGCTGAATTATTAAAATTGAGTTTCTGTCTCTGTAAAACTGAGGATCAGAGCTTCAATAGTTCACTGAGTTAGTTTGGGTCCTGATGACATGCACAAGAGAATTTAGTTTTTGAGGGGGCAATGCCTAGGAAGGGAGCTGGAGGAATATGCGGAATCTCTCAGACTGATATAGGTCTAATCTTCGGGAAAGAGGCATTTCTACTTTGCACAGTGTTGGCCATCATTTTCTCCTAACCTCAAAGAGCCTCCTCAACTTCTCACTTGCTGTGACCAAAGGGTTAAATCCTATATGCTGACAAAATGCTCCCCTATAGGAATTCTTATTTTCCAGCCTATTTCTTCCACACCAAGTGGATGAGCAAGTATGCTGCTTGTGGCCCCCACATTCTTGTGGAAAGATTTTTCTTCACCCATGAACATGGCTATAATGCAGATTCCACCTATCTTCACTTTGCACCCACAAACTGAAGTGACTCATTTGTAAACCAAGGTTAAGCTGTTTGCTCCTTCAACTGGTCACCTGGGAACCTCCATATGACCGTAATTGCAAAGATAGGATAGAAGCTGTAACTATGTATCCTCTAGAATTTATGTAATTGACACAAAGCATTATGCCAATTTCATTCAAATAATAAATTGACATTTGTATGTCATAAGTGCAAAATGATTGTGACAGTCTATTCCCCATTTATTACCAGCTCTTTGGTGAATGCTTCTTTATTAGGCTCAGGCTTTCCCAGCAAGTCATGCTGAGATGTAATTCTAGTTATTAGCTTAGTAGTCAGGAGAGGGGCTAGACCAGCTCCTTACAGGGGCCACAGCTTTGTGGTAGCAGAAGCCTCTCCAGGATCTAGCACAAATGTGCTGGCTCTTAGGGAACAGTGGTCCCGTCTGCAAACCAGTAGCTGGGTAGGGGTGTCTGACCAGATGCTTCCATCCCATGTTTTAGGGCCTTGGGATTTTCCAACTGCATGAAGTTGTGACTGACTTCAACAAAGCTGACCTGCCACTTATTAAATATCGAGCATTTAAGGGCCCTCCCTAGTGGCGCAACAGGTTAAAGCACAACACTGCACAGTTAGCTGCATCTGCTTCAGCACAAGTTCGATCCTGGGCCAGGGAGGTGACCCACATGGCGCAGCAGACCTCTCCTGTCTCGTCGGCTGCTCCCCTCAGCAGTGTACTTCAGTAGATCTACCTGTTCTGCTTCCCACTCTGTCTCTAGTGAATCCTCTCACCACCCCTGCACTTCTGGCCTACATCCCAGCTCTGTATGCATAAATATATGTCTTTTTTAAAAAACTGAGAATTTACCCTTCCTTGCCTTCTGCAATTTTAGCTTATCTTCTTTTTGTTGCTCAGCGGTGCCTGTTCCTCCATTGCAGGAAATTGAGGGCCTGTTTGTAAGCTCCTCTGAAGCCCTCAACTCTCACTCCTTCCCCACTTGTGAACTGTTACCCATTATCATCCTGCTGTAGGGTATTACCTTGATGGCACCCAGGCATCTCCTCTGTCTTTCTAGCCCTGATGCCTCCCATATTTTTCAAAAGTCTGAATCACCCCACCTGCAAGACTGTCCTCCCAGTTTTCCCAGGTCATCGCAAGAGAAATCTTCAGCAGTTTGCCTGCCATCCCGTGCCTGGGGCTATCCGTGCACCCTATTCTCCCTCAGCATAATGTCCATTTTCCCCACTGGACAGTGGACTGAAGCAGAACCAGAACCCCATCTTGGCCCTGGTCTCTTGGACCACCACTGGCACCATTTGTGCTAATTTGGGTTCTTTGAGAAGCTGATGTCAAGACAGGGTTGGACATACAGGAGATGTGTTAGGAAGAATGTCTGAGGGAGAATGGGGAGGCAGCCAGAGATGTCAGGGAGAACTGTCAGACTACAGGCAGGTCTAGCGTGGAGAAGAGGTGGAAGCGTTTTCTAGGAGAAGGTTTGGATAGTGCGGGGCAGCTGTAAGAACATTTGGGCACAGCAGATGTATCTGGAGGGAGGCAAGTCTACCAAGGGCTCAGAGTAGCCTTCTCTGTCATCTGTCTGCTGCTACAGAGCCTTTTTTCCAGGGCCTGGTGAACACGTTGTCACTTCCCTATTAACTGCTCACTTCCCAGAGGAGAGGTACTGGTTTGCTCAATGCTGAAAAAGTCACAGGCCCTTGACCTTGGGCTCCACAGTGGCCATGTGGCCCACAGCGCTAGTAGCATCTTGCTGTGCCTCTTGCATGGCCCTAGGGACTTGGGGCAGATCTGGGAAAGCTACACCGCAACTCTTGCTCTATTTATGCTGCTGCTGATTGGCGGCCTACTTTTATATACATTTGGTAGCCTTTGTGAGGCTGGAAGTCTTTCCTCACAGCACCCCTCACCCCGAACTGCCTTTTAGACGATCCCCAAGTCTCTAGGAATGGCTGGTCTCACTTTTTCTGCCACACTCAGTCTTTGGCCAGGAGCAGCCCTTGGGAAGTTTCGGTGGAACTGTGCTCATGGTGGATTTCAGCTGCTGCAGCATTGGGTTTCAGACCTCAGCAGCTGTGTTTGCCACTCACTAAGTGCCCTGCTGGCGGAGATCTTACAGACCACACACACCATGCACGAGGCCCCGCCTGAGATAATCAGCCGGCCTTTGGTTTTAGTTGATCTTTGGGAACAATGAATGTTTTGTATGTTCCTTTCCTAGGTTCACTTCATAGGAATCAGCAGAAGCTCATTGGTGGCCAACTTCCCAGTGACCCCAAAGCGAAACAGCCATGTTGAATGATGTGCTCATTGAAAATGCTGTCAGTGCTATCACTCAATCTCATTTTTTTCATGTGGCCTGAATCACACCCTTGTCTCCCTGTCTCTTCTTCTGCTTCCTTGATCCCGCCAGGGCAGGCACCTAACAGTTATCTCTCTTCTCAGCCTATGGACTCATCACATCCTAGCTTGGAGATAACCCTTATCAGGTACAGGACATCCCTTCTGTACACATATTTTGAAATTCTTTGATGAGATTAACCTGCTCATCATCTAAATGGTGTTCTAATGAGGTGTAAAGTGCACCGAGCTGTGCCGTTAGGACCAAAGAAGAAAGCCAAATGTTTCCTCTCATCTTTTATCTGAAAATGTAAACTTAGAAGACATAATTTTGGGTGTGATTATTTGCACTAGAAGGCTTAAACCTAGTGTTCTTCCTGACTTGCTGCGTGTGTTACTGGAAATCCTGTGGTAAAACGCATAAGAGCCAGTCAAACTGATCAGTTGGAAATAATCAACAATTGCATTTGGGATAAACATTTGGTATTCCATACATTAAGCATAGCAGTAGTATACCATCAAAGATATACGTCAGTCCCCAGATGAATCATCAATACTGAAATTATGTGCCAGGTCCTAGAAAGGGGTGGAACTACGACACATGCTAATTCAGACAATAGGAAGTACAATCTGTCACACAGATGTATAGATATTGTCACTGTACATTTAATCTATTTGTTCTACAGTGAACATCAGTCAATAATTTGAGCACTTTTCACTTTATAGTAAACATTAGTCAAATTGGGCTTATCTTTTGCCAGCTTAGAACTTAGAAGTAACCTTTGGGTAAGACTGACATAACCTAACTTCTTTTAAAAAGCTATTTAAAAAAAAGCCTGAACTAATGTCCTTTTTCTAATATTTGATATTCCATGGCCTTTATGTTAGGGTCCGAACTGGCTTCAGAAGGATGCTGGTGATGATTATGATAATATTTCTACAAGAGAAAGGAGTGTATTGGCAAGCCACAAAAAGCCTTCATGATCATTAATTTAAGTTCCCAGGTTCTTTGGCATCCTAGTCAGCCCCAAGGTGGACGCATGGCGATTTCAGAGCGCATGTGTGGTGACTTTGCACATATCATATGTGCCTTTGTTTCTGTTGTCACTATCCTTGTCCTTTTCTTTTTAAAAGATTTATTTATTTATGTATACAGAGCTGGGGTACAGGCCAGAGGTGTGGGAGTAAGAGGATTCACCAGAGACAGAGTGGGGAGCAGAGCAGGCAGATGACTGAAATCCACTGCTGAGGGGAGCAGTGGGGAGACAGGAGAGGTCTGCTGGGCCATGTGGGTCACCTCCCTGGCCAGGGATGGAACTCGTGCTGCAGTGTTTGTGATAGCGTCATGGTGCTGTGCTTTAACCCACTATGCCACCATGGAGGGCCCTTGTCACCTTCGGTGGCTCATACGAACAACACTTTCCTTAATCAAAGGCTGCCAAGCCCCCATTTGGATTGTTTCACTTTTTAAATCATAATTCAAAGTATAATTCTTTCCTGACATTCCAGACAACACTGCATTTTGTTCTTCACTGAAAGGTATTTTGTGTGACCTTCAGATTATTTTCATTTGCGTTCTGGGGTTTTTTTCACGTATAAAATGAGAATGCTAGCAACTACCTCAAAGGGCATTCTGAGCACTAAAGGAACTTGTGATGGGTGAAAGTGACTGTTAAGCTGCTAAACACAATCAAAGTGGTGTTTGGAGGACTCCTTCTTTGAACGCCTAGAGCCCCGACGACTTGCTGCCGCACTGTCTTTCTGCTGTCACACTCTTGCTTGTCTTCTTAGCAAGGCAGCGGGGCCCTCCAGAGCAGAGCTTGAGCCCCACACTAGCTGGTAGATGCCTGTCCAAGGACTTATGAAACCCTTCTTTCTTTCAATGGTCCTGTGCTGTCTTTGCTCTGATTTTTAATACTTATGAAATCAGTGTGCAGGACATAGTGTCATGCTTCAAAAATCCTTTATTTTTTTGAGGAAGGTCAGCATGCTTACTGATCTCAAGTGTAGAAGTGTTAGCCTTTGTCCTCAGAGCTTGAGGGAGAGGGAGGTTTGGGAATACTGGCATTGGATCTCAAAAACACTTTGGACGGTGCGGACGGGAACTTCTTCAGCATGTTAAGCCCTTGTTTGGAGGTACTGGGCTTTTCAGAGTCTGTGAACAAACCGAAAGAGAAATATTGTCATTGGGCTTTCCCTCTGAGGCTGTTGGGCTAGCGGATGGGAAATTTAGGGTTCAGGAAAGCATTTACACAGTAACTTTTGATTTTAAATATGCTTTCATAGAGTCTTTCTTTGCTCTTTTTGACACCCTGGGAAGAGAGCAGGAGAAATTCAGTGAGGCCAGACAGCTTGTCCAAGGTCTTGTGGGGAGAAAGCGGTCAAGCTGGCAGGAGGGCATTGACTTTCTCGTATGCCTCATCCTAGGAGATGTCTGTCAAAGGAGACACATGGGCTAATTCCATAAGAGGGACCCTTCCATTCTTGACAGTGTGGGTGTGCACTGCCTAATGTCTAGTGAAATCAGGCATGCACTACAAAGGCTATCCGTTCTCAGTCGCTTTCAGTCAGCTTTCAGTTGATTGACCTCAAGTCATCTGTTTGTCCTGTGAGCTCTAAAGCACTTGTGTGGTCAATAAGACTCTCCATTTGGACCCATTTTTCTGCACCACTTGTTTTGTGCAAAGAGCTCTTAAAGCCTATCGTCGCTTATGCTAACGGAACGATTGCTGTATCTATGAGGGCAGAAGTGGGCATTTATCTGTGTTGCTGATGCATCATGACAAGAGGTGATGAAGGACGCAGGCAACAGAGCATATGCCTTCCTGCTTCCTACAAAAACAAAGTACTTCCCCGCTTGCAGCTACCTCATCTTTTCCAGTTATATTACTTTTGGAACCTCAAGAGTCAATGATTAAAACTAAGGTGGCACACAGCAAATTTAACCCCAAATAAAGAGGAAAATGTTTAGCTCTTCAAATAGGTGATGCAGTACTAGAACGTGTTGGTTTAAATAAGAACCACAAAGACATTAATAAGAAAGAGCCAAATTCTGCAGAGGTGAAGGAAAGCTTGAATAGAAATCTCTAGTGTGAAAAAGCAAGAGAAAGACTTTTAGCTGCAGGCTTGATGCATGTGCTGTGAGGCCATGTTTTGGAAAACTCAGTGAAGGAGGATGAGGCTTGGTTTTTGCAATTTGAGGATCTCGGCATTCATTTCCCTGAGATACCAACTTAGGCAGGGCTGGGAAGAACCCAGGACTCTGCACTGTGAATAAGCATTCTGGGTGGTCCTGGCACATCGGTCCCTGAACCACTTCTGGAGGCTCGGCCCCCAATGGGCAGCCACGAGTAGATTCTGTGTCTTGGGAACACAGCAAGGGGAACAGCAGCCCCGAGGCTAGTCCCCAGGGGCACAGGGAGCCCTCAGCTGACAGTTCGCGCCTTTCAAAGGGCAAGTGCGGGAAAGGGCAAGTGCGGGAAGGCGACGGAGGGTGCAGCCCTCAGGGGAGCGGGAGTTGGTAGCATGCCCAGTGAAGGCAGCCTGGCGAGGCCAGCTTTTTGCAAGGTGTGCTGCTGCTGTCCCACTTTGCCTGTTGTTGACACCAAGAGTTCTTAAAGCTTTGGCCACTGTGAGCAGATGCGCTGGGGTGTCTGTAGCCAAGGCGAAGGAGCCAGCACTAGGCAATGGTACTGGCCACCATGGACCCATTCAGGTCTGTCTTATCAGCAGTTTGGTGAACAATGGACGGCAGGCTGTGCCGGGCAGCTGTTGGTCTAGAAGTGTCTTTTCCCTGCGGGATTTCATATCAGGCATTGAGTGCCACTTCTAATTTTCCTTTGTGGCCATCAACTGTTTGACCATCTAACCACACAAGGCCAATTGTGCATTTTTTCCTCCAAAAGCCCTTATCAAAGGGGCTTGTGATTTTCTAAGTGTTGCCGAGTCCCTATGGTGTGCATGATGCAGGGTAGAGAGAATGTATCCTGTCAAACTGAAGGTGCAGAGGGGTGTGATGACCGATGTGGATACGCAGTCAGAAACCTAGGTGGGCTCTCTTGTACTTGCCTGTGAGATCTGCAGGCTGTCCTTGGTCACTGTGCAATTCTGAGCTGCAGTGATAACGAGAAGTAGCCCGTGGCTGACAGGAAGAAAAGAAGGAGGCGGGAAAACCCCGAGGCCTGCAATTGTGAGTCCAGGCTCTGCTGCCTGCTGACTGTGCAACCCACGGCAGGTCTTTTGCCTCCATCTTTGGCTTTGTAAGACAAAACTTCAAGGCCTGCAGCAGAGCAGGGCAGTAGCCATGTCCTCGTCAGCGCAATGGAGGCTTGCAGGGTGGATCCCAGGGAGACGGGAAACAAACCCAGCACAGAATACCAGCCACAGCCGCTACTGAACACATGCCACTCTTGGAACCTCTGAGCCCCACCCCACCGTGAGCTCAGATCAAACCGGCACAGCAACCTACAAAGTGGGCTCTACAGACACAGTATTATTATTTCAACCTTAGTTTTGTGGGGTTTGAGGGCCTGTGAGGCAGGAGACACTCACTGCAGGGGGAAATAATGAAAACTTGTATATTCAACGTGATGTCACTGAGGACTTTACTAGAAAATAACTATGTCATACCTGCAGCGGCATCCAGGCTGTCCAGACAACTTTCGCGTTGATAGAGGGTGACAAACTGCCAAGACAAAGGAAACAGTAGCTTATCCTCTTTGTTAGTGAGTACTAGAAATACCAAGAACCCACAGGGACAGAGCCCACGATGTTCTACAATGCCAAAGAATTATTGTTCAGGGTGGGCTATTTCTAGGCGTGACTTCTTATTTTGCTGGCCAATTATGAACCCAGGACTGGTCCCAGACTGGATGCCAGGTGGCCTGTAGGATAACTTCAAGGACTCAGGTGTCCCAGGTCATGAAATCAGTAGCCTTGCCTCTGCCTCCTCATGGAGCTCGGAAGCATTAAAACACTGTAGATCCTTCTCTGCGAGATGCTGCTGATAGAGCAAGTCTTAAGGTGAGAACAGACAAATGCAATGTCCAGTTCACTACCCAACCTCCTTTAGGGAGTTCTTAACATGAGACCTCCAGCAGTAAAGTGGCACATGGAGCTGCGGGAGCATGGAGAGGCAGGGTTGGGATGGGGCCCTGAGCTGGCTTTACTTTGAGGCACTTGACCACCTCCTCGACTGCAGAAGCAGCAGGATTCCTGAAGGAAACCTAACAGGTGGAGGAGGTGGTAGGGCTACGAGTAACCACTTTGGTGGTGTGGCTAAGAGGGAAGTGATGGATCAGTGAAGTGAGGCCTAGATGCATGAGAGCTGACAGGCATTCTGTACTGATGGTGTGGGGAGCGGTGTTATGGTGGAAGTTTGACTCTCATTCTTACAAGAGCATTTCAAGCAGCATATGGATTAAAACATAAAAAAAAAATAGGATACTGAAAGGGGTAAACTGGGACAGGGCCAATCTAAAGTACAGGTTCTTAGCACTGGCTGCACAACTGAACCATTTAGAGAAAATTTTGAAAAGAAGTGTGTTGAGCCCCACCCCCACTGAGCAGTGGGGGGGGGGGCAAGTAGTAGTAGCTGTCTATGTCCCCAGGTGTCCGTAAGGTGCAAGCAGTGTGAGAATCCTGGTCTGAAGAAAGCAGGAGGGCAGAAAGTCTGAGCACCAATTGCCTGGGGCAGGTGCCGACTGGCCATTCAGCTCCCTGGGCACACTTTCAGACCTCCCTCGGCCTGGACGCACACAGGCCACCTGGTGAGAACCTCTGGGATGGAGGCTGCCATCAGTTGTTTTTACTGCCAGATGATTGTGATGCGCACCAGTGTTGAGAATCTCTGTTCCATGCAGTAGCTCTTGAACATGGCCACGTGCAGATGCGTGGGGATGGCAGCTCTGGCTCTCCTGACGTGGACTAAATTTGACTTTCAACAAAAGTTTTTGAGCAACCACTGTATTTCAGTTCTGTGTTAGGTGCTGGGTAAACATCTAAGGTGGTGAACAAAATCAAGGGACTATATATAGTCTACAAGATTGGGAGGGCAGGAGTGTGTCCTTTTCTTCTACTGCTGTCTCCAGTGCCTGGTACATAGCAGGTGCTTGATAAATCACGAATGAATGAATGAATGAATGAATGAATGGTGACTCGAGTGCTATGAAGAAAAACAAAGAGGGATAGGAGAGTGCGTGCATCTACTTAATACAGGGTGGTAAGGGGAGGCCTCACCAAGGAGGTGACTTTGTGCAAAGACAAGAAGGGGATGAAGCAAGACACACAGTTACCTGGGGCTAGCACATTTCTGCACACCCCTCTGGTTTGGCTTTTCTCTAGAGGCTGCCAGAGCAGAATTGTCCGAGGGGCTACGTGGCACTGTGTCTTATGCCATCATAGACACAAGGACAAAGGCTGAACCCATAGGTGAGTGTTTTGCTGAAGGGATTTTCAGGTATATGCAGTAGCTGAGACAGATCTGGGCGAGGGGAAGGGAGGACAAGGCAATGCTGCCTAATGCCCCTCAAAGCACACCAACAGGAGCCCCTCAGTTACCTGGACCACCGGTCATCTTTACTATGGCTCCATGGATCCCCATGAAGTGAAAAAGACTCACCTTAATACTGCTGTCACTGTGCATCCCTGAGTAGTAAAGACTATCTGTGAAAAAAACAAAGTATTAGAAAATGAGTGTATAAATTTCAGCACACAAATAATCACAGTAACTTTATCAAGGAATCATAGAAATTGGATAGTCAGAAAAAGCTGAAAAGGGTGAGCCCGCTAGAATGCCAGGCACAGTTCTTGGCTCCTTGCTGAGAAACTGGGAAGGTGGGGTGTGCCCTGGCGGAAGCAGCACTGGCGAGGCCCTCGGGAGAGGCGGCTCTGTAGCCGGCCATGGCCTTGCACAACCTCTCTTACTCTTGGGCCTCCACGCTCAGATGGACAATGACAGTTTAGGCTGTGGGGAGACTTCTAAGGACCCCACACGTCTCTGGTTGTAGACAATGTTCAAAATGTCAGCAAAAAGAATGCTAGAAACTCATTAAGCATTTTAATGATGAAACTGAGGCTCAAGGTGGGGAAGTGACTTGTCGAAGGTCCAAGACTCGGAATCTCAGAATATAGATCCCAAATCTTCCCCACCCAAATCCAATGTCATTGTTTTCTTCAACTTCATTGCACTGAGTTATTTTAATGAGCTAGTTCTCACAGAGACAAAAATAAAGTGGGGTCTAGTGATAGTTTAGTATATTAGGTTTACTACTTAATTTTAAAAGTTTTAAAATATACTTACTAAAACTAGTCTACTAATAGAAACCAAATAAACTCCTAAATAAGCAAATCCTCCTGGTAGCCTGGGTTCTAGTCTACATAAAGGGGTGATAAACTCTTATGTCTGGATATTTTCCGGAGAAGCATGATAATTATAAACTTCATAGTATTATACTTTATACTTCACACCAACATTAATAAAACCTTACCAATGATTAAAAAAAAAAAAGCAAACTAGTTGCTTGTGTTAACTACTTACTAGAGCTGGTACCTCCCTCCCCCTCCCAAACACATCAATGTATTAGAAAACTCAGTATTAATTTGAGGTTTGACAACAGGAAGATATGTCAATACAATCAATATACAAAGTCTCCTTTTAAGTACTATCTAATTTGAAAAAATCAAATCGACCTTCTGTTACTTTGGCACTTGGATCTTGGGAACGATTTTCATCAGCACTAAAAGAAGATAAAAGACATTTCATTTTCTATGTACATAGCATATGAAGGCATTCAGATAAGAAACTGTCAAAGCCATTATTCACATAGAAACAAACCTAAAGTGGTTTGAATTTTCAAATCAAATGTAAATGTTTGCTGCATTGATTTATTACATTTTGGATGCAGCCCCACCCCTTCTCCAATGATACAAGAACGGTGTTGCCTGCATTATCAATCATGCATGTGAGAACAATCATGAGAGGAGGCAGGATCAATGGTGGGCGAGGAGAAGATACCGGAGATTGACATTAGCTCAAAAAGGAACTTTAATTTCATAGTGGCAGGCAGAAACTAAACAACCAGGGAGTTGTACTATGTATACTCTGTTTCTCCCATTGTACAAAGCGCTACTCTTCCAAGTGTTTGACTATTGTAAACATAACAATTGTACATCTGGTTTGGCTCTTCTAGAAAAGAGTATAAAGCAGGTCCCAAGCCCTCAGTCCACTCTGTTACTCCCTGTCCTTGTAGTTACTGCATAGTTTGTTTTTTCTTATTTTCATGATATGCATCATGAAATCAGTCTTACTGACTGGTCACTCATTTACAAATCTATACAATTCTATCCCTTTGGGAGCACAGCTCCACACCTCAAATGTGCCTGTGCTTCTTCCCCTTCCCCCCAGCACAGCTTCAGTACCCTACAGTGTGCCTCGTCCACACTCCTCCCCTCTGGAAATCACCACAATATTCATAGTCTAAGAGTTATTTTTATTGTGTTTTGCCAGTTTGCTTTCTTTGCTTATTTATATTCCACAAATGAGTGAAGGCATTTTTAATAGTCTTTCACTTCCCGACTTATTTCACTGAGTATAATCACCTCAAGATTCATTCATATTGTCCCAAAAGACACTGTTTCATATTTTTTTAATAGCTCAGTAGTATGCATTGAGTATAAATAACTTTCTCTATCTAGCTGAATATCAATTAGTTTGGCTTTTCTCTTACAGACATCCCCAACTTAGAAGATTTTATCTAAATCTCATTCACCCTTTAAAGCTCAACTTATACTCCACTGCTTTTGAAAAATGCTCCATTCTATATCACTCCCTCCATGCGTGGGATTCCTCTGATAGTCAGTTCTATACTTTTGAGCATTTAGGTGCTTAAGGGAACTAAGTAGGAAGCCCTTTAGGCCAGCCATTAGTGCAGGGACTATTGTTACCCAAGGCTTTTTTCTCAGCTTCAAGGGTCTATTACATTAGTCAAAGGTGTAATCTAACTAAATAGACCACAGGTCCCAGGAAAAGGGAAGCAGAGGCCAGGTAGATAGTAATGGGTGAGAAGCAGGGGAGGACAGGTCCAGAAAGTTAATTAGAGAGGGCAGCTAGGGGAGAAAGTGAGGCGAGGTTGAGAGGCTAAAAGTTGGCTTCCTCACAGGTTTATCTGAGAAACCCATTCCTAGCAACACAATTTCATTTCAGATATTTATTTCTTAACCAACTTGTATTGTTTCAATGGAATATACCTAGTAAATGAAGGCAGATCATTTTCATTGTATGAGGATGAACTCATAATTCCATGTATGAAGTAATATGTTGGTTCAGTACTAGATTTCATTTCTTCTACCTAGAAAAGTACAAATCAGGTATTACACAAAGAATATGCAATAAATCAAGTAAAATATATTACAACATTTGCATAGTCCTACATTTGCATAGTCATCTAAGTAGCCAGCATTTTCAAACCAGGCATGTTAAATTTGATCATGAAATCTCACAAGGCTTTCCAGGAAATAAATCAGAGTTTATGAAAAGGATATTGAGCTGGTGAGCTCCTGAACTGGCCAGAGTTGTCTTTTTGTGTTTTTGTTTTTCCTCTAGTTCACTGCAGCTTCTGGGTCAATTGCAAATGGATAATCCAGAGACTTGTTAGGAAAGTCTAATTCATACATATTCTCCAAACACATGGTATGGCACAATTTTGGAGGGAGGGTCAACCCAAGAGGTCACTGAAGCCAGACCATCGCTAGGATATAGAACCAGGGATACAGGAGCTGTATATGAGAGTGACCGTGCAACTTATGGACTCATTGCAGGAGGGACAGTCAACATATTTTGGTTAACTAGCATGTTTCAATAAGTTGGGTAAATCATTTTCAACAAAAACGGTTGAATAAGTAACTTGTTCAAAGGTCACACAGCTACTAAGTGGCAAAGCCCAGATAGGCTGAAGTTGTGTGATTTTTAAAAATTCCCCTACAGCCCATCTGCTGGTCCTGCTCACTAGCATGGACTTTCTGTGTAGAAAACTTCCAGTATCTCAGAGTACAGAGATCAGTAACATCTATTATTTAAGATAATCAACTTGCATGTCTCCTAACTGGTTTCCACTCTTGTAGGACTCTGATTTTTTTCTTCCCTTTTTTCCAGCTGAGGATTCTTGTTTCATTAGTCAATCATTTCTCTTTGGGGGTAAATAGCATCATAGTAGGGAGAGCCTCCTTGGATCCAGTTTATGCCCAACATCCTTTATTTGGTCTAAGTGTGAAAATATCCTTTCTTTAGAAACCCAGTCCTGCAAGTCACATTTCTCACTTACACTTTCTGTGTTTTTCCCCCAAAAGGAAGAAGGGTCTGTTTTAGTTGAGAATTTTGAGGGCTTAGAAATTAAATTTCCTGTTTGTGTATCTGCAGATTCTATCCATTGAACTGATGATGCGTCAATACTTTTTGTAGTTATACTGGATTTACAGTGACAACTTTTTCCGAGTGACAAACTTTTTTTCAGATAGTCTCCGCTCATCAGTGGCTTGGCTGCTATGTTGGTAATAGGCTTTATGACTTCTTTTACTTGATCTTTAAGTGAACCCTCTGGAAATTCATCTTTGATGATCTCTTGTAACACAACTTCATCTCCATCAGAAGTGAAGCTCTCTTCTTCATTATTTTGTGAAATTTCTTGGTTAATATAGTGAGTCACCAATCGAATAAGATTATTTTTGCTCTGCACATCTTCTAAAAGCTCCACTTTGGTGATGTCAGGCTTCATTAAATTCAGCAATGAATTCCTACTAGCAATCTGGAATTGAAGAGACAATGTGAAAAAAATTGCATCAGTCATTTTTCCTGTGTTTCTGTTGTAATAAACAACAATCAACTTTAGTTTCAACTTAGTAAAACCACTTATCTTCAAATGCCATTTACTTATATACAATATATTTTTAAAAAGTGAAAATTATGGCCCTGGTGGCGCAGAGGGCTAAAGCACTACACTGAGAAGCTAAAGCCACATCTGCATGAGTTCGATCCCCGCCTGCCCTGGAGGTGACCACATGGCGCGGCAGACCTCTCCTGACCCGCCCGCTGCTCCCCTCAGCAGTGTACTTCGTAGATCTGCCTGTTCTGCATCCCACTCTGTCTCTGGTAAAGCCTCTCACCACCCCTGAACCTCTGGCCTGTACCCCAGCTCTGTATGTACAAATAAAGTAAAAATCTTTAAAAAAAAAAAGTGAAAATTATAAGCAATGTTTACTCATTTTTATAATTACTTTATATTCAAAATTATTACTGCAGTTCAAAGTTAAGAACCTAGGATTCTTTCTCTTGCTTCAAACAAATGCAAAGGGTACAGATACTTTACATTCTATTCCATCATTTGCCTTGAAAGTTTTGTAACAGATGTAGACATGATGATAATATGTCTAATAAACTTAGTAGGGAACTAATCATAGAACAATTTAAGCACAAACACAGCATTCTAAGTCCACACTTTTTATGAAAATAGACAAGGTATTGGCTGGTCTGGATTCTTTAAAAGGATGAATAATAGCACAACTGTGAAAGACTCTGAATGATCATTCCTCACCCCACTAAAAATTAATCTTTTGGACATATATTCCAAAGGGAGCTTCAAAGGGTAAATCTTCATTTCTTATCACCTCCCTGGTCAAAGTTTATTTTCCATTTTGCAAAGTTAAACACAGATCAAGAAAAGATAGGTCTAATTTCTGTAGCCTTGGATAATGTTACAAACTACATTTATTTGAGTTATCAATTTTAAACCTCTGTAACATTGCAAACCAAATTTTCAGATAAATTGTGCCTTAAAGGAATATGCTTTGTGTAAAACAGAATGAATGAACTTCTATAAGAAATGGAAACAATCAATTTTGATTCTCTACACTGGAAGAAGGAAATAGTTCAAAGATTTAAAAATCATTACATATAGATTTGATATGTGTCACTGTACAAATATTTAATGGGTAGGTGTCTGGTGTACTGCGAAGTTTTGGCACCTTAAAATAGTAAATGAAGCCTTGTTTGTAGATCTCTAATTGAGGGATAGCCCAGGAGCTGTCTAGCACTGCTATCCAGATAATCACAAAGTATCTGTCTTAGACGAGCTATCTACCTTTGTTTACTTTTCTCAGACAGCTTTTACTCCCTTTAAAAGTTGCAGAAATAGTTGTCTTGAATTACCTACTCTCTTTCAACTTCCTCTGGACTATAAAAAGATAAAGTACTGACAAAAGACATAAAAGAAGCAAGCAGGTGACCAAGAAGAATTGAAAGATGTTTCTGCAGATAATTAAGGAAGAATGACTTGGGGTAAGATTGTACATGGTAGGTACACAGATTCTGTGTCCAAAGAATTACTTAAGGAAAAGTGAAGACTTCACCAAGTAAACACTAATGTTATTTCGGGAATCTGGGAAGTAAAAGACATTTTAGAGTGGAAAGGACATTCATCTGGTCCAAGAAAGTAAGGGCCGAGGAGATTGTGTCCATGATAAATAATCTCGGTATTCAAGACCCCCCTCCCCCCCTCAAAAAAAAAATAACCCAAACACATCCATGTATTCACCAGGTCTAAGACCTAGTTCAATGGACTGGAAAGTAAGGCTAAGGGAGACATACTTCGGGAGTTGGTTCTATAGAACTTTGCTGGCGTGTAGTCATACCCTTTAGTGTAAATGTACATCTTGAGTGCATGGAACTCAGTAATCCAAGAGCTCTGGTATTCCATGAGGATGCGGGGCTGGAGCAGTGTACCTGCATCTCAGATAAGACCATTCCTATGTCCTTGTGCCCTAAGATCAGTAAATGGAACTATTTCTTTTTCAATAGTTGACTTGTATCAAGGAAAACTTTTTAGTGTTTCAATTTCTCATTATTTAGATACCTCTGAAGCAGAGCAACTGGTTTATAAATTAGTAGTATGAAGCAACTGGGTCTAGGATAAGAATAAAATAGGAAAAATAGGAAGGGAATTAGGTATGTCCTAAGGATACAAGGGCATGGGGAAGTGGAAGGGTTTTATATAATGAAAGTGAAGAAACAAGAATGAATGAACTCTAAAGAGCTTGCACTTTAATGTTTTTTGATGAGAGTTAAATAAACATAATATTCTATCATGGTCTCTTAAGATGAGAATTTAAATCTCTGCTAGAGGCTATTTTAGCTGATATTCTACCTGGATCTTATGGACCCACATAGTACTATGACAATGTATACCTTTAAAAAAAGAACTGGCATTTGTAAAAATAACATTTGTCCCAAGTTGCCAAATGAGTATTACAATTTCAATCAACCTGATTTGTTGTTAAGGGTATTTGCCTATATCGCTATCCAGTTTTGTTAGTCTGACTGATGAATAGAAATTAGCCTGCCACCTTTACAATGAGCCATAGTACTGATGGGGTAAATGCAAGGAAAGCAAAGAACTGTACTGGATGAATCAGAGTACCTAATTCTAGTAGGCTTGGCAGGAGAGAACTAACCATATGCATCTGCACAGTCTACCTAAGGAAGAAAATCCCAGAAGGACAACCAGATATTACTAATTTATTTCTCCTCAACCACTGCCTTTGCACTCACCTCACAAGGCTTTACATTCAGTCGTCCAGCCTTATCCAATGAGATGTGACTTTTTTTCCTTCTCAGTCCTTCATCAGGAGTACGATGAGTTGAGCATTCCTCCCACTTATGGATGTTTTCCTTAGAGCTTCAATGCTATGCCCAGTTCTAGCTAAACAGTCCACTTGTAGTTTCTGGAGAGGCTGCGTTTTTATGGAGAGGACTCCTATGTGCTCTGCAACAATGTCTGGGTCGACTTTGATTGGCTGCTTGTCACGGTGAGGAATTATTTTAATTGGAACAAGTCTTCACTTAAATCTTGATCTAACTCATTTTGTTCTAGCTCAGGTTCCATTTTAAAAGCATGCTCGTGCACCTTTTCAACAGCTTGACTGACGTCCAGATTGCCAAAGAAATCAGCACTTGAATCTTGGGCTAATCATTTTGAGAGGACAATTTGAAACTTTGCTGACAATCAGAGAAGCTACTATTGTAGGGAAGAAATTGTTGGTACCTTTCATATCATAATACAGTTCTTCGTGTGTACCAGTCTGGTGAAGTACTTGATTATAAACAGAGTCGACTATCTGAGAAATAATTTGCATGCTTTCTGGACTTAAAAAGTTTTCTTCAGGATTAGTAGCTATAACACTAATGTTATTTTTGGAAAGTTCAGCTGTCACTGATTTTGTCAATTGATAAGCGATTTTATTTAATTCAATCATCTTTAGCATCTTTGTTTAAAGCAAGTGGCAACTTGACTAGCTTAGCCAAGAACAAGGCAACCAATTTCTCTCCAACCTTAGCATCTAACACAGCCTCTTTTTCAGCTAAATGGTTTTCCTTTGACTTAAGTTCGTCAATAATCTTAACCACTTTTCCCGTAATATTAACAGCTTCAAAAACTAGCTTTGAACTTGATACTTCTTCCTTTGCTTGATGAAATTCTGAATTAAAAATTTCCTTCACCATTAAAAATCCTATTATATCAGGGCAAAGGAACATATGTGCCAGAAGCCTAAAAATCATGTTTTCTAAAGTGGAACGAGACAATACAGTGACACATGATAGTAAGACATGGCTGTCATTGTTGATGGCGTCAAGCACATTTCTGATGATATTTTCTTCATAGAGGGAGAAATAGGAGGAAATTGCTAATTTCCCCCAAAATAATGATTCTGCTTGAGAATCATAAATTTCTCCTAACAGTAAATATATATTGTTTCCAAGACTGATGGCATCACTTTGTATAGCATTAGAAAGTTACTTTTTCATAAACGTGGTTGACCACTTTTTTAACCATTTCATTATATGTTACTGAAAGATACAGGTTTTTATCCAAGTGATCGGAAACTAAAATCTGTGATGTGGTGAACTCCAGGACAACTTACTTAACTAATGTAAAAATGTCAGCAATGTTGGCTTTTGATTTACATTGGTTTTCAGCAGTGAAGACCATTTGTGAGACTGCATTAAGGATTTTGCATAAAAGCTTAGAAATTACTTCCTCCAAAAAGACAGCCGAATTCACAATGAGAGCTAATTCTCTTTGTTTAGGATCTACTGCTCTCATTTGATAAGTCTGATCAACTGTATCTGAAGGAAGAGTTTTATCTCCAGATAAAAACGATTCAAGGTGATGATTAAATAGCTCTTTTATTTTTAGCTCTGCTATTTTTGTAGCAGGCATATTACATAAACCTCTTGTATCTTTTGTACAAGAGTGGTATAAATCTGAATGATAAATATCAGCATAAATAACATTGTCTCTATGTCTTTTTCTAAAGTCACATTTTGCTTTTCATTTCCATGTTTAATAATGCATATTGCATGTTTAGAAATTACTGACATGATCTCCTCAGTCAGTCTCATAACTCTGTTTTTGAATTCAGATTGTGAATGGTCTGGGTCTCCTGCACCGCAGTTTAATGGACTTATCTGAGATAAAACTTGTGTGACTATTTTTTCCAAATGTGTATGAGATAATATTGTAGTATATGTTGTGTAAGTCTGTCTATGGAGTCTTGATTTACTAATAGAATAATGAACTCTCAATCAAAACATTAGTATTGAGTTTTGAGTATGAATAAAAAGGCAGCTTTGCTATGAAATCTGGATGAATCCAAAAATCAAAAATTTCAGCCATGATAATTTTAGCTTCAACTAATGTTTTTGTGCCACTGAGAAAATCCTTATCAGACTACAGTTCATATTCTTGTAAAT